AATATTGAATCGTTTTTATGAAAATCAAATTCTTTAGGGATTTCTAAAAATCATATTCTTTAGGAATATCTGTATATCAGAGGCAATGTCCAGTCCACCTCTTTTCCGTGTTCTGTGTCCAGTCCTACCTCCATTGCGTCATAAATGTTATTTGGTACGAGTAATATGACAAGAGTGTAAGAAGGTCACTATCCAAGATTGAACTGACAAATCCTGATTGAATTGCTATTGATCGGCCATGTTGTGCAGATCATTCAGGGCATAATATGATCGTTTTCACACATCAGTCAGATCATCAGTTACGCTGTAAAGCCGCAGAGCAGTGTAAACCAAATTAAGAGTTATTTATCGATGTACCTACTTGCAATTATAGAGCAATACTAAAAATCGAATACTGTAAGTAGATATTAATTAATATTCCAATTAGCCAATTTGAGGTTTAGCGTTGATAATTATAGTAGGTACCTACTCTCTAATTAATAAATATGTATGTAAAAACATATATTGACTATATTACCTTAAATTGGGGAAAATTATTAAATAAGGTATAGTATCCCCAATAGAGAATATTGAAATTTCCTTCTGGCATGTTCCCAATAGGGAATTGTGGATTTTTAAAAACCGAAAATTGTTTCCTATGAGGAATTATTTGAAAAGGCATTTCAGTATTTCATATTAGGGACACTATTCCATATATGGTTACTTGCAGTATCTCAACGTCTTCGGTGGTGGTCCCGCCTCTCCAATTCACAAAATGTATAAAATACGCACAAGTATCTATTAACAAAAAACAACTAAGTCCACAAGAACACTAAATATAAAATACACGGAACAAAGTAAAAAAAAAAACTACAATAATTATGAAATTGAGACCAGTCAAATCTGCGTCGAGCGCTATCATAACATTAGAAGATACTCCAATAAAACCTACTTCAAAAGACAATAAAGGATTAATTTAAATTATAACATATTAGCATGTAATATTCGACGTTTTCTATATAAAAAATAGAAGTCTTTAAAACAAGGATAGCAATTGTATATTGATGAAATTTAAACATCTAAGAACTCTTTTCGCATAGTCTCTTCTATTGTCTATCTAGTACAAACAGACCACAATGCCAATTATATTATTCGTTAGTCAGCCTAATTGGAAGGAATTTTATTAAAGAAGCCGATCACTCACTTAAGTGCTATTCTTTTATTTTTATGAGATTTTAATTTAATTCATAAAAACCATTTATTGCATTTTAATTATATTAATGGTTTCAAGGTAAATTAATTAAACTTTATAGATTCTATATAATATGGTTAATATTATCTAACATATAAGTTAAAAAATAATTAAAAAAACTAACTATTAAATAACAATATTATATTTAAAAATGAAACAACTTTTAAACGGTTTCATCTCGCTTGTATTTAGTTTTATTGACGTTTCGGTCATGTCAAGTCAGACTTGACTTTACTTTTTATTAGAAAATATTTTAAAAAAGTATTAACTCGTCAATCTATTCACATACCTAGACAAACAAGCTCACCGATAAATAATGAATTTAATATACATAAGTATAATAAAGTAAACAAATTAAAATGGACTAGAATAAGTAGTAATAGGGGTTAAAGTATGAAATTGCCGATTTGTACTGAAAATCAAAATTGTTTATTTTGTAATTTATAACAAATTTATTTAATCAAAATGTTAACATTATTATCTATAATTTGCTGCCATCTAATAGAAAGATCATTTATGCCTTTGCGATAGAACTTTGAGGATCTATGAGGAACTGTGTGAAAGCATTTTGCCTCCTAGGAAGAAAACTTCTAGTCACGTAGATAATTGTCCAAATCACGAAAAAGATGGTAGTCCTTTGGACCAAGTCTGGCGAATACGGAGGATGACGAATAGTTTCTAACTGCTGTTCCTGAAGGGTCAAAACGGTTTCTCGTGCTGTATGAGGTCTCGCGCTGTCATAGAGCAATAATGGTGAAGATCGATTCATGAGTCGGGCCTGTTTTATTGTCAATTTTGCCAACATTGTTCGGAGTGCGGCACAATTAACATGAGCCGTTATTGCTTGACCAGATCTGAGAAAACTATAGTGAATAACACCATGCTGAGATAGCCAAACAGTTACTTTCACCTTTTTATTGGTAAATTTTGCTTTAGGACAATATTCTGGCGTTTGATTTGGGGTCAGCCATTGCATTATTCTTTTACGGTTATCACAAAGAATCCACTTTTCATCACATGTCATAATTCGATCCAATATTCCTTCATTTCTGTACCGATTCAGCAAGGCAACACAAGTTTCAACACGCGTTTCTTTCTGCAGTTCAGTCAAATCATGAGGCACCCATTTTTCGTATTTTTTTTATTTTATTGATTTGATGCACATGAGTCAATATTGTGGGTAAGGTAACTTAAACCATGCCGCTAATTCCTGGGTAGTTTGACTAGGATCGGCTTTCACCATCTCTCTTAATTCATCGTTATTCACCTGCCTCTGTGTGGGCGGTCTTCTTCGTCGCTCGTACTTCAAGTAGAAGTTTCCATCACGAAAGCGTTTAAACCAAAATTGCACGGTGCGTTCATTAGCAGACCCCTCTCCAAATGCAACATTGATATTGCGGGCTGTATCTGCCGCTTCAAAAAGAGTCAGAACTCGTATTCAAAAATCACTCGAATTTTCGCAGTATCCATGTTTCTTGTCTAAGTTGAATAACATAAACAATAGAAAGTCGATATTCAAATGTTTCACGTTTTTTTAAAGAAGAACATCATATAAACCATGTGAAAAAAGTTTATTTAGAAAACCTCAAACCATTGCTTGTATTTTAGAATATTAGCAGCCCACACTCGACAATTAATGCACTAAAAATTAAATTTGAGCATCTTCTATGTAATAGAGAAATTACTGTAATACTCCCATTTAAATATAATTGTATTTTAACCAAAAGAATAAAAAAATATATTTGTGTGGTTAAAACTGTTTTTTCTTGTTTTTAAATTTGAAATATTTATGCAATTTTTGTATCCAATATTTTTTCATGACATGTCACACACACACAGTAAAAAGTAACATCCTAATACAAGTTTAGTATAGTATAACATGATCGCTGAGATAGCGGCTCTGTCATGCAGTAATTATATCATATTGTTTATTTGTTTAATTCACTTATTATCATTTTATTCCTCCCTCTCTCTCTCTCTGCACCTCTCGTTAAATATTTGTTTACGAGGGCCAATCAATATTTGTAATTCTATTTATAGTTTTGTAAATAGGTATTTGAAATCGACAAACGTAACAGATTTGCTCAACTAGCTCTAAGCGACTCTGCACTAAATTAAGAAGTCTAATTATAGACTGTAAAATCTCAGTTAAACCACTCATTCGAAACGTAGAGTTCAGTGAACACGAAGTTTATTCAACTGTCGCGGAAGACAAAACAAAAAAGAACAAAAACAGTTTCTATAAAAAGGAACTTCAAAAGAAATCATTTACAGGTGAATTAAAAAATATGCACGTGCTTTACTTAACAGATCTTTTTATAGTACCTCTTTTAGGCACTACAATTGTGACACTCAAGTTTATATAAACGTTTTAATATAACCTAAATATATAGGTATAAATCAAATCACATAGGCAATTAAAAATACCCAATATTATTAATTAAAGTTATGATGCAAACGTAACAACTCATTATTATAAACAATTACTATTTATTATTAATGATTGGATAAGTAAAATCTGTACCTCTAACATACCCCACACTTATAAATTCCGTTTCTTTTTACCGAACTATGCCACTGGGTAGCACTTTAAGCTTGCTTGTCACATTGTCGTAGCATCGTAGTCCGTAGCGCGGCACGTAGGCGTGGCAATGAGGCGGGACCACTGGAGTCCCGCCCCGCGCCCCCAGCGCCCGTCGGCAGATATGATAACGAGGATGCCACTCGGCAAACCGCATCTCCCTCGACTATCATTACCGACGTGATTGACTGCGCACTTACCGCCTGTTAGTTTAAACTTACTCGTGCGCCGACACATTTTATGATTACAGTTCCAACTTTGTAATTAATATCCCGATCTACATTCATAATATATTTGTGGACACATAACAGCAAGTTTATATTTATTATGTAAATATATTAACGTGTTTAAAGTAATGTTGTACCAGTAAACTATCATCCTCTGAACTCCTATGCAATTTTGCCGCTAGTTACTCATAACGCCATCTCGTGACCAATAGCTGCACTAATTAATCATCGGCTATGTAAAACATTCTTCAGTAATTCATTTTGTTATTATTATTGTAATATTTTTGTGGTAGTATGTAATTAATCGTAATCACAATCAAATATTAATGAAATTCATGTGAATTTGAATTATCCCTTATGGGATGAGACTGAACTAAGTGGCGGGTGTACTTATTTTCTGCTTCCTCAGGTCAATAATTCAATTTACAGGTTACTAACCATTCAATCATTTGAAATTAATCATTGCAAATAATTGTTTGTGCAAATGAATGGTTTTATAAATTTTTGAGCTGTATTACATATTCGATTACATAACCAAACCACAAAGATCTGTACTGGAACCAGAATTATAAAATAGATATTTCATATGCAAAAACATATTATAAATTATTTATTTATTTGTATAGGACAACCATTAAGACACAAAACTTTTGCCTTAATTATAAGTCGTCGTGGCATGCAGAAGTGGATATAAATAACAAAACATGTCAATGCAAATTATCGAATTACTATAATAATAAAATAAATATTATATAATAAAATAGAATAATAAATTAGAAAATAGGTATTATATAAATATAAAATAGATATTCCTACCTACTAAAGGTATATATTATTAATAAACAACATTAACAATATAAAATGTTTAATCAGATTACCAAATACACAACAATTGTAAATGTTTTAGAATTCCAAAAAGTACAGTTGTGATTTGACAGCTATATTATTTATGTTTTTTTTTCATTACACAAATTGTCAATTGCACAAATATTCATGAAAGTTTAATGATGGCTTTAAACTCTTATGAATGTTCTATATTGGAAAAGTTGTATGGGTAATGTGGAATTAAACTAATGACAATTTTAATGAACGTTTGTGCAACTGGCTGAAAGAAACATACAATAGTTCACTATACAATTACTATTTACAGCTTTGATGTAAGTTCCGGAACTGCCTTGAACAAATCTGCTACTAGGCCATAGTCGGATACCTGAAAGAAAATAATAGTAATGTTAATGAAGATACTGGAGCAATATCTCTATGACAGTGCATTGAAATTAGCATTCATCTGCGCAGAAAAGAGCAATCTTTCGCTTCCTCTTTTTTGAGAAAAGAGAAGAGCAAGCTTTAGCTTACTCTTTTTTGGATAATAATAAAACAGAAAAATAGACTTCAATACTCAATGTGTCAAGATACTAATAGTAAACGAACACGGCCGCAGACAAACGCGATACTTCGCGACAATGGAATTTTTGCCTCGCAAATTTTCACGCCTTCAGAAACTCTTGGGCAGTCATATACATCCAGATGAGACTAGCAAACAGATAAAAACAATACTATTCGATAAAATATGATTACACTAACTAGAACGAATTGACATGACATCTGAACACCTTTTCTATTTTCCCAAAACTGAAATTCATTTATTTTCGAAACGCTTATAAAATCCCAAAGAAACACATTTTTAGATAATTTGTAATGTATCAGAAGTAGAACTAGTTAACAAATTTATAAGAATGACTACAAATAGAAATTAAAATATCTCTCTATGGTATGGTTTGACTCTTGCCTGGGTTGTCTAGAAATTTTTTTATGAATATTTTTAGATACAATTTCAGTTACCATCCGTCGATGAATAAGTACATAACAATTACGTGACTTGCTATGACCTACAGATAAACTCGTGTATGAGTGATAATAATCAACGTACAAACATTATTATCAGGTTCAATGAAAATAAATACAATCACAGCACGTCAAGGCATACAAAACTGTAAAGTTGGCCATTTATTTATTTTCTAGGATATCATTTTATGCTTATCTTAATACGATTACTAAAAAAAAGTTTATTGATTTCAAACCTTAATGCATTGTTAATAGAAATAAAATTAGTTGTGGAAATTTTACATATCGCACACCTAGATCTAAACTGAGACAACTCAAAAATTTGATTGAGTTTTGACTTAGTACAATATTCAAATTCTCTGTGATCATATGCATCTATCCAACATAACAGATTCAATAAAAGTTTGGGGATGAGCCGCTAGATAACTTTAATTTTCTTTTTTTGAATCAACAGTGGTCGCGCTCTTGCCACGTAAACAAATGTATTGTCAGACCTCCACATTAGTTTTTTGAGTTGTCTTAGTTAAGATCTAGGTGTGCGATATTGTGGAACCTGACGCGATGCTAATATGTCACAGCTAACTGATTAAAACAGCTGCAATTAGATTAGCACTATTTAATTACACGGCTAAACCCCCATTGAGGGATATTAAACATAATTCAACTTCGCTTATACTACCATTCGCATTATATATTAATAAAGTATCATGTATTTCAAAATGTTATTTCTCTTCAATCACTTGCAGGTAGCTGATTTAAAGTTTTAAATGTCGTAATATTTTAACTAGAAACTAGTATCTAGTTAAAATAACTAGTCATGCAATTTAATAGCGCCATTAAAATAAAAAGGCCAACCGTCCAAACTGGCTGTTTTAGCCAATTGACTGTGACATGCTGCAAGGAATGATTGGAAGCATTAATATTAGCCCAATTTCAGTTATTGTTATAAGTATTCTGTTCTGCATAGTGTGATCCACTAAGATGATAAGACTATGTAGAAAAAAATATGTAATAATGATAATACAATTTGCTGTGTTTAACCATAGTATTCTCAGTACCTGGAATATAGGTGCCTCGGGGTCTTTGTTTATTGCCACTATAGTCTTAGAATCCTTCATACCAGCTAAATGTTGAATAGCACCACTGATTCCTACAGCTATGTATAGGTCCTGTAAATAATACAAAAACGAAATCACTATACAATCATATTTGATCTAACATTTGTTATTGTTTGCTTTTAGAAATGTATTGTAGGTCATAAGTAATTATGTTACTATTGAATGATGGATTTATAACACTTTAAATTACTTTTTTAAGAAATAATAACTTACTGGAGCGACAATTTTGCCAGTCTGTCCAATCTGCAAGTCGTTGGGAACGAAACCTGCGTCTACGGCTGCACGAGAGGCACCCACTGCGGCATTAAGTTTATCAGCTAGATCATAAAGTAACTTGAAGTTGTCTCCCGACTTCAAACCACGTCCTGAAAAGAAAGGTATCATATTTAATACAAACATTATTGTTATTATATATTATTATGTATATTTTCTTATAAAAAACTGCTGATAAAAATAAACCACTGGATTCGATATACTAGTAGTTATTAAGAGTTCTGTCATTAGGAACGCACTTAACAAATTATCTAACTTGGCATGAACTACTGCCTAAATATAAGTTAATAAAGTATCTATAAATAAAACCTTCATTCCATAAACCACTTAAGATGTTTAAAGGACCGCCTGGTAAAAACCACTACCAAGGACAAATATGGAACCAAATTTAAAATTAAATATTTTATAGATATAATCCCTGCAAATTGCTAATGCCCCTGGCCGTCATTTTGATGACGTAATTGTGTACAAAAATCATTACTGCTAACAAAAAACTGGTTGACAAGTACACATAGATACACATAGAAATTATAACAATATTTTGGGGATCATTCATAACTATTTCAATAATTAATTTATCTCTCGCCTTTTGTACTATCTAACTTTCTATTTTCATGTGACATATCGCACCCCCGGTGCGACACTGTCACTTTTGAAAAAATACAAAAATTAGTTAAATATGTAATAATTGTCCTAAACCCCCTTTACTTGGTGCGATAATGTTACTTTTGTAGATGAATCATACGGAACTATGTTCCTAATCATACGGAACATAGTTCCGTATTATTAGTTCCATTCATCTCATCTGTATCTTCTAAAGTCATTGTTTTGTGAGATGACAGAGTTTAAAACTCTTCTCCTGAAAAACTAAATTTTTGCATAAGTGACAGTGTGGCACCGGGAGTGCGATATGTTATGTTGACAACGTTACAGCACTTTAGCAATTTGCAGGACTTATAAACATGCATATATAGAGCAAAATCAATGAAATTTGAATATGATTTCATCACTTACCACCAGAGACAATATTTTTAGCACTTGTCAGTTCAGGTCTATCAGACTTTGTCAGTTCCTGTGAGACAAATTCAGTGAGATCTGTCTTGTAGTCACCATCAGGAGCTTTCTCCACAGCGGCAGAACCACCTTCTAAGGGTTCCGGAGGGAAAGCTGTCCCTCTCACTGTAATAACCTTGATCGGATCTTTGGCCTCCAAAGTGAGAATAGCATTACCTGTATAATTTTTTTTTATAAATAAAGAAAATTTTAATATATTATATACTCTTAAATTAAGATAATATTAAAAGTTGTTTACAAATGAACCATCATAAATTAATACCTGCATAAATTGTCCTCACAAATGTATTGGCATCTTTAACACCAATGATGTCTGTTATTGGTGACACATCAAGCTTAGCCGCCACTCTTGGAAGAACAGCCTTGCCAAAGGCAGTGGCAGGCGCTAATATATGAGTAAATTTAAACTGTTTTTGTGTGGCAATAATAAGTGGGGTCAAAGACTCTGCTGTGAAGCCCTTAAAAGCATCACTCTCTGCAACTAGAACTTTTGATATTCCACCAGCCTTGGCAATCTTCTCTGCGGCCTAAAAACAAATAAAATAAGTTAATTATTTAAAACCAACATAATATAATTAATGCAAAACAAGGAAAATTAGTAAAAACCACTAGATCCAATTTTCATAAATGGAACTCACAGGTCCGCATTTAGTGCCAGCAACAAGTACAGATACATCACCGCCTATCTTTTTTGCAGCACTTAGAGTATTCTGAGTGACAGCAGACAACGCCTCGTTGTTATGTTCAGCAATAACCAAAGTACTTTGAAGTCGCCGTATCTGCAAAAGAATCGAACCAATATTATCGTAAAGTTAACTGCTAACTAACTTAAAGACTAGTTTAATTAAAAACTCACCTGATTCGACAAAAACAAATGCCTGCTAGGCTGCGTAAACATTTTGTTTTTTTTTATTATACTAATGTAATATTTAATTTTCTATGGAAATAGGTACGTCCTAAATAAAATATTTTCAAAAAGGTTACAATACAAAGTCCAACTCCACTTCATCACAATCAACATTCAATACGTGTCTATGAATACATGTGAACATTGGTCTGTGAGATCGAGAATACAGTGTTAAATATTTGATAAAATATCGATTGTATGTGAATACGATACTTTGCGATTGTATTTATTAAATTTAATATTATTTTACTTGTTTGTGGCTTTAAACGATGTTTAAGCGACGTTAAAAGTCGTGTTACAGGTTTTCAAAGGTCGAAATTAAACCCTTATTAATCTGTCAATACCGGACAAAGCATTCATCTATTACCAATTATTATCGATCTATTAAATTGATCGTTGTCGTTAAGCAACTTTCGCAAGGGTCGGGTGACGAAAAAATTATTATCTCGAGCTACTCAGTGCTTCGAAAGGCACGTTAAGTCGTTGATCCCGGCTGTATTTGCAGCCGTTAATACCCTCCAATCCGCATTGGGACAGCGTGGAGGGTCATGGCCCATCCTCCTAAACCATCCATAAGGAAGGCCTGAGTCCCTGCAGTGGGGATGTAAAAAGGCTGATGAATATGATGATGATGAAATTGAGGTTTCCCAATCTATTTGAAGAAGAAGAAGAAACATTTATTGACCGCAATCACACAACAAATACATTACAATATATGACTCATAGAGTGGCTTGGTGGCGTAGTGGATAAGCGCCGCGGCCCGCGATCGTTTTCGTTAAGCAACTTTCGCAAGGGTCGGTCACGGGATGGGTGACCAAAATAATATTACCTCGAGCTACTTCGTGCTTCGGAAGGCACGTTAAGCCGTTGGTCCCGGCTACATTTGTAGTCGTTAATACCCTCCAATCCGCATTGGGCCAGCGTGGAGGGTCATGGCCCATCCTCCTTAACCATCCATAAGGAAGGCCTTAATCCCTGCAGTGGGGACGTAAAAGGGCTGATGATGATAATAATGACTCATAGATTGGTGAAATCTGGCAGTGTTTGAAAAGATATGTGGTTATGTAAACGGCACAATATATCGATATGCTTTATTAATACAGAACACAAATAAAAATCTAGGATGATCTATAGAAAATAATCGATATGATAAATTTTTACTTGTCTAAATTGTTCCATTGCATCCCTAAATTGACAGTTTTTTTTTTTATTCTTTTCTGTAACGACTATGTGGTTTCTTGAAATTTCTTAATAATTTAAAAAAATATTTCAGTTGTTATAGCAAGCCGTGATACTCAAAAATATACAAAATAATGGCTTTACCTATCGTCTCTATCACTAGACGAGAAACGTTTAGTTCCTGTCACAGACTGCACAGGTAATTTTACATTTAGCTCTTGAAACTAACCCATAATTCATCAATTACATATGTTTTGAGTATTATTATCAATTAATATTGTTTTGCAGTCCGTTTTTAAGTGACGAAGAAAACAAGAAGTTGTATGGAAAATGCAACAATCCAAACGGTCATGGACACAACTATGTTGGTATGGTTTTCGTGTTTTTTCAGATTCTTTGTATTTTGTACCCGTACAAAATACCTAAATAGAAGTACCCACAATAAAAAATATATAAATAATATGGGCTTTTATACATATTTTGTTGCAGTGTTGGTAACAGTCAAAGGTCCTGTAGATCAGCATACTGGGATGGTAATGAATGTCCATGATTTGAAACAATACATGCAATCCGCTATCATGGACCCCTTAGACCACAAGAATTTAGATCAAGATGTCCCTTATTTTAAAACAGTGGTAAAAATTGTAATTTGTTTAATGTGTCAGACTTGTATTTTGTCAAAACTGCAAATTGTCAGTAATTTAAAACCATTTCTTTATTTGATGACCTATGCAGTAAGAGCATGCATTGTTGGAAACATTGCATAATTCAAATTTATGTTTCATTTTTTATTAAAACAAAAATTAAGCAATATTATATATTTGATCAGTTCATTAAGAGTATTAAGCATTCATTTTAACAATGATTAACAAAACAACATTTAGAATCTTAAATTTTAAATAATATTTAAAACCAAATTTACAGGTTAGTACAACAGAAAATTTGGCTATATTTATATGGGATCAACTCCAAAAAGTTATGGAGAAACCTAATTTGCTACATGAGGTGCAGATACTGGAAACGGAAAAGAACCATGTTGTGTATCGCGGTGGCACCACCTACCCTAGGAAGAAGTTTGATAGCTCCAACCTACACCATAACCACCATAATGTCTCCTCTGATTCAGACTGACTTGCTAATTGTGAAGCATAAAAACTCATTTATTTTTATATGACATTTAAAACTTATTTAATTAATGTTTTGATTTTATCTTAGTTCATAAGTAATGTACCTATATCGCATTTGTTCAAAATATATCATTCCATGTTTACATTTATTTTTACATTTATATACAAGAAATTTAACCTTGATACTAACATCATTACCAACAAGTAACAATCGATTTTAAGATGTAGAGTCTACATTGTAGACAATAGTAAGTGATACCAGATTCAAAATTAGAACATTTTTTTTTCACTAATGGCAGGTTTACACATTATAATTATGTGTAGATTTTTAACTAAAATGATTAAGTATCTGCAAACACAAATAAATAGTAAGTTAAAATGTAATTCTCATTAACTTGTAGTTAATCCACTAGCTATTTATTATTTATTAGTGGCCGCCAGCAACTTCGTCCGCGTTTTCCATTATTTCTTCACTCCTAATAGTTGCAGCGTGATGTTATATAGCCTTCCTCGATAAATGTTCTATTCCACACAAAAAGAATTTTTCAATTCGTACCGATAGTTCCTGAAATTAGCGCGTTCAAACAAACTCTTCGGCTTTATAATATTAATATAGATTTGTGTGTTTACGCATTCTTTATCTAACTTGCAACTTATCTACTTAATCACATGTTAACCAGCCATAAGACAAGTTTTTAGGAAGTGAAATAGCTTTTTATGAGTCAAATAAATACACCATTAATCATACCTGCTTATTTATTTAATAATCAAAATTAGGCCTAAGGCGCCTATTACACTACCCAATCTATCGGGCACGATATATCGGCCGCGATTTAGTGCGGTTGGTGTCGTTGTTATTACACTGCACTAGATCGCCTCCCTAACTCAGTTGGCATGCAAACGTGGCGTTGAAAGGATGGCTCCTTCGCTCACAAAGTACCAAAAAATTGGCATAGCCCATACTTTAACTGCGGGCGTAAATAATAAAACAAAATGTTGGGTGAAAAATATTTGCTTCTAAATGACCAACTATGCAGTTTGAACTACTACAGAATGAGTTCTGCACAATTTTATCATATATTAAACTTAGTCATACCTTATATAGCGCAAAACAGCGGTTAGCTGTGCTGTAACCTTAAAATTTTTAGCAACGGGAAATGCATATCATGACTTAAAGTATAAATACTCAATAAGTTTATTGTTTCCATAGGTAATTTAAAATAATATTACATAATTAAGTTAGTCTCACTATGGACCCTATAGGGCACAACAATAATATAAAGTTTATTATAGCATTTGTTTTTATTATTGTAATTTATATAAAATTTATAATTGTACCAGACACATGCAAAGGCTATCTAGAAATATTTAAAACATTATATCATATTGATATATATATATAAGAAAAAGTAATAATATTAAATTACACTTAATATTATTTCTTTTCCTTTTAAGAAGACATTTTTGTCTGTTCGCAAATTTCGTTTTCGTTCACTGACGTCTCACACACACGCTGCGCAACAACCGACTGAGCGCTCTAACACCCTAACAGCGATCACATTGCCCGATAAATCGGCCCTAACTCTCATCGGGCGATCGGGCGCCCACGTTCACCCGATATCGGGACCCTAACCACAGTGTAAATATAAGTATACAGTGGTGAAACTGCCTACAAGCGTTCGAAATCGCACGCACACATAAACACGCTCACCGACGAGCCGCCTAAGTGGACCTAACAGGACGCTCAGTAACGCGTAGCGCGTCGAGATGAGGGGTCACGTTATACGTTCCGCGATCGTTTTTATTTAAAAAATGAAGGAAAGATTAAGGAAAGGAGTAGGCTTATATGAAATAAAAAATAAGATTTTTGTATGATCTGGAAATATATTTTAGTCTGGAAATATATTTTAACCGCCCAGTTTTCGCATATGTTATTTCTATATCATGTGGTGATAATAGAATAATATAAGTAGATATCACCGTCCGAACAAATGTGTATGTATATTGTTTGTTTGTTAATTAGTTATTACAATTCAATTGATTGATAATGTCAGAACTCCTTTTATATTTTGTAAAAGAAACATTCAAAACGACAACCCTATGGTTTCAATGGAGCGTAGGTATTTATTTTATCAAATAGGCTTAGTTTCTATACTGTGTCATTCTTATACTGTGCCCTAACTCTCTAACTGCGATTAGACTACCCAATTTACAGTGTACCCGATGGATCGGGCCCGATAGATTGGGTAGTGTAATAGGCGCCTAAGTGTTAAATTTATATCTTGATATTAGATAGTATGTTCAAACAATATAAACACTTAAAACTACTCAAACTTAATACGGTCAGTAGTATTGTTGATAGAAGCAGACTTATTTTGAATATCTGTAATTACTCGCAGCAAGACAATGCATCAACACAATTACCTGACCAATCCTTTTTTGAGGAAATGTATTAGGCACTACACCTGCGCCTGGCAAGAGACGGGTGTATGGGACTCTCCTCTCCTTCGCAAACCCACTCCGCAGCTAGTGATTAAAAAAAAGCCTTTTATATTTCATTGATAGTGGCGTCCTCTTTCGAATAATTTAAATTATAGTGTGCGCGAAAGTGCTAGTCACCACCTGAGGTATGTGAGCGGCAGGATGGGGAAGGTAAATAAGTGTCAAGCTGACAGTCTACCGTCGACCGCCGTGGGCTTCGTGACCTGTGACGGTTATACGATATATATATTTTTAATATGGACTTGTTCCGTTATACCCGGAAATTTTGCCAACACCCGTAGTGAGAGAGACACGTGACTCGAGAGACTGAACAGTAGTCATAATTAACCAATTCTTCCTTGAAATTGTTCTTCACGATATATTTGTTTGTGCCACTTTGTTCGAAACATACATGAGATAAAATATCTTAAGATGCGTCTGCCAATTACATGACAAGTGAAAAATGTTATTTACAATGTAAACAGTTTTTTTCTCAGACGAAAGGTTGACAAGGAAAGTATAGACCACAAATATGATATGAATATTAATAAATTAGTAGCAGAGGCTACAGGAGTGTCAGCTCGCAACGTAATGAAAATTGTAGCTGAAGGAAATTCGAATCCGCAAACATCGGAAAACCTGAAATTTTCGTCTCCACGGAAAAACCCCAAGTGTTCGTAAGCTGCTTGCAATTTTAAAAGATGGTATTGTGAACTGCGGTTGTACCTATTTAAGACAGCTTTTAAACATTATGGGATATCTTTAAGACATATTTTAATTGACCAGACCCAGTATGGCGAGTAAGGTATTTAAGAGCTATACGGTATTTTAGAAATGAAAACCGAAACATATATTTTCTGGACGAAACCTAAGTTAACAGTAACCGCAACTCCAAAATTCGTTGGCAATCCGAATCTGAGCCTGATATTTATGATTATATTGGCAAAGGGTGTCATTTAGTGATTGTTGTTGGTGGCAGTGGAGACGGATTAGTTGACGGTGCTTTCAACTATTTTCAAATCAGATTGGAAATGTGGGGATTACAAGAGTCATGCAAGATTGGTTTCGCGAATATAATGTTGACTTTACACCAAAAAATACTAAACCCGAACTCCTTTCTCTGATAAAAAGAACTCAGTCCGAAAAAATTTACACTATTGACGAAATTTTAAAGGCTGCAGGTCATATGGTTCTTCGCCTTCCACCGTATCATTCCGATCTCAACCCCATTGTGCTATTGTGGGCTGATATAAAGAACAATTTAGCTTCAAATTATATAAATTCATCATCGGCCGACAAAATTCCAATCATCACAAGATTGTTTTCTGAATTCACTCCGCAAAAATAGCAGCGTGACAACCACGTACAAAAACTGAATATTGGAACCACAATATGAGGTTTGATAATGTGATAAACGAGTTAATCATAAATCTAGAAAATGAGTCAAATTCTGAGGAGGATATGGAAATTAAAGACACGTCTAGTAATGAAGAAGAAGATATCGATTAATTTTATACTATAACGGTGATAATAAAAAATATTTTTATGGTTTGTTTATTGAGAAATGGTAATTTGCTTATAAAACCATACCGTAAATAATAAAATTGAATAAACACTTTCAAATATGAATTTATTTTTAACTAGTAAATAGAGAAATATTACAATATAAATACCGCCATTACATTGATTAAGATTGAGATTCTAACATGTTATCCTGAGATTTATCTGTCCTTAAATACCTCATGTGTCTTGTCAATGGCGCCCTCGCCAATCTCACCTCAGGCGGTGACTAGTACTTTTGCGCACACTATAAGAAAAAGTAATGTATGGAATTTTTTGTAATCGGTCTGGACTAAAAATTCCATACATTACTTTGTAATCGGGAGGACCCTTTCCTGTAATTTTTAGACATTCTTTCAAAAATGTATCTTAAAATTCTGATAAAATATATATACTTAAAATATTCACAACAACCCCATTTGTTATATTCTAAATTTTCCCAACCATTGTAAATCAAATAAAATAAACGATGCACAGACATCCGCACGGCGCCACCGTCACATACATTTGCTCGATACACGAGACGAGGTCAGTATAATCATTTGCATGCTTATTACATGAAATGGTAGGGAAGCCTAAAAAATTAAATTACTTATCCATAATATTAAATAAATATGTATTCACTTAAACAATAGTGTTTTTAAAAGTAATAGGTACACAAATTACAACAATACTAACAAATAAATACAAAACTAATATATTCACCCAAAAATACCAATTAATAATACACTACCTATAGGTAGGTAATTAATATAAATATTTTTAAATCGTTACATACTTATATTAATATTATACTTTAAATCACAGATTGGCACTAGAATCTTAACTTTTCAAAGCTCACAATCAAAACATCACAAAAATAATTTCTATAACTAACAAAATATAATCATCAAAAAATATCTGTCATAATTTAGCAATTAACTAAATGATTGCACTCAAAACACTTCTTAAAATTATATCTAAAATCCATATAATAAAATTTGATTTTTTTTTTATTGAACATTTCCATAATATACATATAAATCATCTCATTCAAATAAAACACACATCTCAATAAATAAGACTCATTTAAAAATTATATTGCATGCCCATTATCCTTTTTGCATGGATGTTTGAACGTGATGTAAGGGATGCCTAGTTCGAAATTGTTACTAGGCCAATATTTTAGTAACGGTTTTTGTTCAGGACGCTCTTCGGACACATGAAAGTAGGCGAAGAGCACGAGAGCAGTGTAACTGGCTATAAATATGAGGATATGCCAGACTCCGTGGAAGTACGGGAAATTTATAGAAAGCCATGCGTCACAGAATAGGCGATCTATGATCCAGCAGAACTTTGCTAAAAAGCAAACTGCGACGCAGCGCAAACCCAGCCGATAGACACGGGCGCATTTCACTCTGAAATTAGACAATAACATACATATAATGTCAGGAACAGGCCAATTAAAATCAAGCTGCTTCTTAAGCCCCATATAATGCAGTTCAATTCTTTCGCCGATTGTGTCGTCAGTATCCCAGAAATAGGTAGATTAATAAGGCTGGGTATAATGAAATTTAAATTAGATTTGTTACTGTACTGTGGTTCGTAAGATGATTCCAATTTGTTGCCATGGCATGCTATAGAAAATGAACTCTTCTATATTGTGTCTGGTCTGGGTGTAGTATTGCCGTGTATTTTAGATTTCCATAAAACAAGTGCTTAATTAGTGTTGTCTTATAATTTTAAGTTATACAATGTTATCAAACCTTCTTTATTTATATTGTCCCAGTTGTTGTTCCACCTTTGTTGATTCGGTTTTCCATAATACAAATTTTAACCTAATTTGGGATCAGTGCAATGTCTATGATCTTCTCTAATATGTATTTATTGTAACTGTTACGAATTTCTTTACCTGGTCAACTCTTTGTACAAGAAACCAATGGCAGGCAAAGCCAGAGTCATCAAGGCGAAAGCGTTAGCTGCTGGATGCATGACCAGGAAGCCTGTTGAGAGTACTGAGACAACACTGGAGCAGAAAGCCAACTTCCTTCTGCAAACACAAATTTGATAAATCTATAATTACAGACATAGAATTTGGGATGTTTAAGAACAGTTATATTGGGGAAGTTTTTTCTATATATATTTTCTATATTATTTATATAAAAACTCAAACATTTTTTAATAAAGTGTTTTCATATTTAACAATAGTATGTAGGTACCTACATTTTGTTTGCCTTGCATTTGTACCTTTTTTATAATAAAACATTAAAATGTATTGAATTTCCTCATTAGTTTCACTCATTTTTAACAGTAAGAAAAACAAATGAATATCACAAATTTTTCCTTATTAGAATTCAGAGTTATCTTCTTTAAAATGTAATTTAATGATACCGAAACCAGTCAGATATAATGGTATAGTTAGGATGATTTTATTACAAGCTTATATATACTATATGAGAAAAAACTTTTCCATCTATTGAGACTAGCTCACTCGGTGAATTTCATACCGCCATATACCTATTTTTTATAAATTATATCTTTCTATAAATTTTCTTACATACAAAACTTGTCCTGACAATAAGGAACGCACAATAAAAGTTATGCATGTACATACATATTAGCATCATTATAGGTATATATATATCTGTAACTGTATGTAGTAACCCAAAATGCTATCTAATGTACACTTCCCACTTACATCATCTCATTTTGAGTAAATATTGACCAGTATCATGTATTCCTCATCATAGTGTATGGCAACGCTATAAATAAGTTAACATAGTATGACTAAACTACAGTAATAAATGCATGCTAAGGACTAATTATCAACTGTACCAAGGCTGTATTAAACAATGCTTCAAATTATACAGCTTATTGTGCAAGTTGTTTTAAAATCCTGTAATGACAAATGTCACTCTCAAAAATAGGACAAGCAAAATAGTTAAAATATGTGATAAAAAACCTATCTGGATATTAAACCTTTAAATTAAGTTACCTGTTCCCTCCAAGAAATTTTGGAAAATATCTTCTGGGCAAAAACATTGCAAATGCTGCCATAAAGACCCACAATATAGCCAACTCGTCCAACAATTGCCCTGAAAACAACATTCATTAGTACAGAACATCATTTCCAAAATGTGTATAACATACTGAATTATCTATAACTCACCAACCAAACTCAAAGTAGCATGAAAGTATGCAGAACTCAGTCCAACAATCATGAGCAAAATCCACAGAATATTGATTGCAGGATTCACAAATTTGGCATATTCTTGAAACAAATGTATCAGCACTGGTGGGAGCAGGAAAAACAGGATGTTGCTTACCTGGGTATAAGGTTTTTAAGTTATTGTTATGTTACAAATATTTACTCTACATAAAGCATGATTACTTCAAACTCATATAAAAAAATGATCTTATATTTTAATATCTTATTAGAAACTGCATGCAACAGCTACATTTAAATAATAATAATATACAAATGAAGATGAATACTAATTTTCTTTTCTTTTTCCATTTAAAAGAATAAGTGTATACACAATGGTATTTTACAATTTTTATTAAAAATTTAAGTTGTAAACTTACGGTGTTGACGAATTCTGCTATCAATGGTGAAATAGAATAATTTGATTCACACCAATCCACCGGTGAGCTGCCACGTTCTAAGTGGGACCACATTTTTCTTAAAATTTGTTAAATAAACGTTAATATAAACGCAAAATAATACTATTTTGCGAGAAACGGAAAAAGAAGTTAATAATACTTTAAAATTTATGAAATTATCCACACATTTATTAAACACGCATTATAATAAAAACAAAGGATTTTACACAAAGAATTTTATTTACACCATACGTCGCAAACACATCTGCGTCTTACAATGTTCGTGTACCAAAACAAAACAAAGATTCCATTCCGCCCACACTTTCCTACGTCGACAACTGAAGACTAGGGATGTGTTAAGATATTTTCAATCGATGAAATAATCAAATCTAGTAAAATTAATTTTATTCCGTAAAACAGAGATTCCTATTACGGTCAATATCGACTTCTTGGAATCGAAACCACTTTCCCAAAGATTTACATAAATCTGTAGATATAATTATAAAGTAAATAAAATAAAACGCTAAAAGGCTGGACTAATCTTGTAAAATTAAAACTATTTAATTTTTATGCATTACGTTTGTTACTTTAAAAGTGTTAAAGACGCAATCACAACTGATCGACATTACAATTGTGCCGCTCCGCACTCTGGTTTGATTCACTAGCATACTCTTGGTAGTGTACTAAGGATCAGTCAAGAGTACGAAACGGCGCAATAAGGAAATATTAAAAAAGACATTAGTTTTCGAAATCAAACTTGATGTACTACGGTACGTTCTTGATTTCTGCATGACAACCTTTCCGGTTTTCTTTCATGTTTAATAGTAAATTAGTTTTCAAAACTCAATAAACAACTCATATTCTATTTGTACTTTTTTTTTGTATTTGTATTGATATCTTATTTTCGAACTTTTCAAATTTCGTGTTTTTCAATATGTTAGTTAAAAGGAACGGATATGACTGTCTTTGGTCCATTCGTTTCTGCAAAAATCAACTTTTGCTAGAGTCGCCATCTCGTCAGAGTCGTGCTTTTTAGTGCTTTCTTGTTTTTAAATGCTCCCTCATATCTCTTATTAATTACACTCCATTTTTACTACATTTTGAAACTATTTATTTTGATGAGAAAATGATGTTAAGCTTAACCAAATACAAAATGTGTAACCTGTTAATATTATAAGAAAAAACATAGAAACAAATTTGAAATTTGGAAAAGGGTTCTCTTACCTAAATAGTTTTGGTATCTCTGCTTCAATTGTTTAATAATATTGTTGTATAAATAAATATCGTTTTTACTGTAAATTTACCAAATCACACCAATGTTTATTCCAAATTCAAAGAATGAGTCACCATTAAGGCCATATTATTCTGTTGTTCCAAAATGTTTTTTTTTTTTGTTTAATTGTGGGGAACGCTGTCCAATGAATGTTTTTTTTTTACATTCAGACCATTTCCGTCATTAAATATAAAATGAAATCATATTTAGTATATCAGTTTCAGTTGATGACCAGTAGTGTGAGTTGGAGTTTTTTAATCTCAAGTTTTTCACTGCAGTGAAACTAGTGGTACGTACTTATTTAGCCTTAATTTCTGATACCATCGATATTCAGAGATAGATACCGCTGAGTCATATCAATGTCGACACAATTAGTTATTGATCTTGGCATTCAATACGTTTGTATTGAGAAGATGTAAAAGAAATACATTTTTATGTACATTAAAATATAATAAGTCTATTATATTTGATCAATTTTGCTTTCAAAATGCCATATTGACCGAATGAATGTTTTTTATTGCGATTTAAAAAAATCAATAGGTTCATATGCTCTTTTGAAATAATTAGTTTATTCTTGTTATCTTAGCTATTCACAAAATTAAAAACAGAGTTCGAAAGGATAAATATTATATTTAATGTAATTTGTGCAACAAAATCGCTACTATTATGATTTATGAGTCGGTATTTACATACAATTATTTTAGTAATACCTACTAACAAAAAGCCTCCAAATAGATGTCTATATTTTTATATTAAATACAAATATTTCTGTTAACATTAAAAATCATTAGTTTACTTAAATCGATATCTAATTTACATCGTGGCAATAATCAAAAACCTAATTTGTGTGCCTTTATTAAATCTTTTAAATTTTACTGGTTATTTATTTATGAATTACATTCACTTACCGTACTTTAATTGTTAATTTTACTGATTATTATAATATTATCGAATCAAAGATTATTCTGTTCAATCATGTAAAGTATATTAACAATCGAGATTTATGCACAATGTCACCTCCTTACTAACGTCAAATACTGACAGTGACAGTTTTTATGAACGATTTATAAAACAGGGCATAAAGATTTAACTCATACAGCTTAATCTTATGTAATAATTTTGGGTTTCTTACTGAAACACTGATTTTTATATTGCAGGAAACAGGTAAGCGCATATGAAAGAGGGGACAGAGGTTACCTTATTTGAATGTTTTATCTCGCAAAATAATAACGCTTTTACAAATCAAAAACTCCATCCATTAGAAATCCATTTATTTTATTGAATATAAAATTTAACAAATTATTGCTTAGATTTTAAGATGGAAAAATATGTATTTAAAGCCCTCGTATAAGTAACTGAAATAAGGAAGTTATCACAACACCCAGAACCGAGATAATATAGAAAAGTTAATTTTCTGCAATTAATCACGAGCCTTTCAGCAACGGATGTCATCTTCAAATGGAATTCCGTGCGAATCGTACAGATTCGCTGTAACAGTTGTAACGATAGGCTTTTAGGGAGTTGTGTAATGTATGTTCTTCACCGGAATATTAAAGTTGATGTCAACGTTAACATGGATGAAATTATATAATTTATATCTAGGCACATAAATTTCGCTACAGCTTTATTACTGATCTATTATCCTTTAAATTAATTTACTTTTATAAATGAAAGAAAACCGAAGGGTTGTCATGTAGAAATTAAGAACGTACTGTAGCGACATCTAGTTTGATTTCGAACTAATGTTTTTTTAAATACTTCCTCATTCGCATAAATTGAATGTCCAACCTACATCGGTTGTACCGCGGTCACTGGGCAAACAATACCTAGCTCGGAGGGGACAATTACCCTTTAGTATGTCTACCTTGCCAGTTGTCTCCATCATTCAGTAGAACCACACCTTCACCATTACAGCTCCTACAAATTGTATCTTTCACCTCCTTCGGCGCGATCAATGACTGATGTGAATTTTTACAAGACTGTATAATAAAGGAGTGTATTGTATTTAGGGTTGTATACGAGATACTCGTAACTGACTTCAAAATCGAAAAGGAGGAGGTTTATGTTCGACGTCGATGTTTAGTTTTTAATAGAAATCACATAGATTTGTCATTCATAGAGAAATTTTTTGACATGGCCTCCTAGAAATAACATTTTGGTAACTAACACCCACCATGATTGATACCAGTTGACACGTATGACATTCAAAATTTCCTGTGTATACAAAATTCATCGTGTATGTGTAAAACAATCATTAACAATGTTAATTTTATATATTTTTGAAAAACCATACTATTAATGTAATAAATAGAATAATAACTACTTAAAAATACAATGGAGAACAGTACATATCCTGGAACTGGTAAGCAGATTACCATTATCACTCGTTTATTTGATTTTTTGGTTCATATAACTTTACTAATACTCGTCCAAATTAAAATGAAAATTGTAAAGGCCTATTCTATTTCTACAAAACGAAAGTTCGTAATTTGTCGAAATGCTAATATGACTCTAAGTTTAACATCCCTGACTTAGAAATTTTGACTTTTTCACATTCCAAGTGAATGTAGGTATATCTCAACATTAGACATTAAGCTTGTTTTCAATATTTACTTTATTTACAGACACAGAATACAGTAACACGTGTGAGCTCCAATCAAATACAAGTCAAGGATTAAATTTAGTGGAAAACTGGCTGAACTTAACAATTGAAGATGAGATTTCACGAGGTTCAAAACTTCGAAATGAAAAAAGTAGAAACTGTCCCCCCCGAACAGAATGTCGACTGGTGGATATAAATAATTCAAAAACAGTTTACGACCGAAATCTTAATTATAGGTATATAACTTTCGCTTAAATGGTCACGCGTTCCTGCTATGAAAATCAATATTGGATTAAACAGGATTCCGATTTCCGATTCAGGGATATTAATTTTCGAAGCCTAGTTTAGATTCGAGTCAGAACCAGTACGGACTGTACTTTTAGCCACATTACTTAAATTAGGTGTATTATCGCACCTCCACATTTTCATACTAAACTTTCAATAAATCCCTAAATCATGCTTAAAATATAACACTGGTACATTTTTAATTATACCTATGCCATTATTATATCAGAAACCGGCGTATCGTCAGGAGCTCATATACCCCTTTGTCGCGATGTTCCCAACACTCGTAACATAAGCTATAAATAGCTACGTAATGTATCCGCGCTTTCTCTTTCGCTGTACACCTTATTAGACGCACGCGTCTCAGTCATAAATAAACCTTTACATTATACCAGCGTTTTTAATTACAAGTCCACCATCGGCTGCACACCCTTTGGAAAACGCTGACCCTAAGACCTACAAAATAATTCTGAAACTTTGACTAAATTTAGCTTGAATCCAATGGTAGAAAATGAATCTATATAGTTACGCGATAGCCTTGCAGAATTAAACCTAGGTATATTGTCAAGATGAACTATTAGATTAACCCATACATATAAGGTCGTTGAGTAGCCAGGTGGCGTAGTGGAAATAGCACCACGGCCCACGATCGTTGTTGTTAAGCAACTTGCAAGGGTCGGTCACGGGATGGGTGACCAAAAATTGTTATCTCGAGCTGCTCTATGCTTCGCATGGCACGTTAAGCCATTGCTCCTGGCTGCATTTACAGTCAATCCGCATTGGGCAAACGTAGAGGGTCTTGATCCATTCTCTTTAACCATCCGTAAAGAAGGCCTAAACCCCTGCAGTGAGAATATGCCTACTGTTGTTATTGTTTTTATTATAAGTGATCTATTTTTATTAGAGCGAAATCAAATTCAAGATGTTGGACGCAACAGTCTTCTTACGGCTATAACCCACAAGCTTTTTCCTGTTCCCCAACTCGTACTCTCAGTAACAAAAGTAAAAGTGCTGCAAGATGTTCACTGAGAATTGCAGAGCTTGCTGTGCCGACAAAAAGGCAATGCATAGAAACATGGCGGACCAAATGCGATATACTCCCGCCGTTCATGGTAATCTTATTGCCTTATGTTGCATACTTACATTCAATTCGATGTCGAAGATATTTGTGACCTATATTGACAGATTATGCAATTTCGTCAGTAAACACTTGCGATTCTCCAAACATTTTACTAGGGCATGCGATTTGTCGATTTCGAATTGCATCGCATCAAGCCATGGGTATATTTATCAAGTTCCATTTGTCCTTATGTTCGCTCATTACATGACAAAGATTGGTCTTTTCCACTTCTTTCTCACAACGTTTCCACTTACGTAAGTTTATGAATCTATTGCTTTTTATGATCTATTTGAATTTCTAAGATACCTTTTAAATGTTTTAAACAATTTATTCCACACATGCACACCTCGATGCGTAGGTAAAAGACCGGACAAACAAACTGTCGCGTTTATACATTATTAAGTATGAACCGTTTTTCAGGTTGAAAGATTAAAGCAACAAGTAATGGACGAAAAACCTTTAATACACATAACCGATGCCGTTAACTGTTTCAAGAGGACAAAGTCTAAATCTACGAAATCATCAAAAAGGTAAGCTAATTGATGACCAGTGGCAGAGTAGCGCGGTGGCATAATGGATGAGCGCCCGGCACGAGGTCATTGTTGTTAAGAGAGAGTTGGTCACTTGATGGGTCACCAAAAAATATTATCTCCAGCTACTCCGTGTTTCGGAAGGCACGTTAAGCCGTTGGTCCTGGCTACATTTGCAGTCGTTAATACCCTCCAATCCGTATTGAGCCAGCGTGGAGATCCGATCCGATGAATTTGCCACGGGCCTCAAATGGTTTAGTTACGCCACTGGTCATGGCCCTTCCTCCTTAACCATCCATAAGGAAGGCTTACAAAAAATATAATTATGTGCAGTGCACAACACATTAAGGTATACAAAACTGACAAACTCCAGTTGATTTTATACCAAAATCCTGAAGTGCTGCTATGTGCACATAAACATTTTTTTTACGTTACTTTATCTAATGAAAAACTGTAGGATTCTTAAAAAGTATTGCATCGGGGAGTGTTTATTTTAATGTTCATTTTATTTTCCAGACAAAGAACGTTTGTTCGCGATAATAAAATAAACAATGAGAGAATGTTAGAGTTGAGAAAGTTATGCGCTATATTTGGCAAAAAAATTGCACAGAAGTTGATAACACCCCAAAACATAAAATTAAACCCAGAGTAAGATCAATTTATTTCTAATCATTACTGTGAATTATTTAAGTTATTTTGTGATTTAACTAAATGGAAGTATTTTTCTTTTTTAATTACTATAAATTATTTTGAAACACCTACATCATTGCAAATTATGATGTAGGAATTTAAGAAATTTGTATGTATGTCTAGATTGGACAAAATCTCGAAAATTGTTGCGGATGAACTTGCTAATATAATGAAAAGTGGCAAAGTATATAACGATAATGTTGGAAATAAAATGCAAGCTGAAATATCTGAAAAGGTATTTTTAAATGTATCTTTAACCTATAACAAAGAAAGACATTAGGGTATTATATACAACTAGCTTTCGCCAGAGGTTTCGTCCACGTCTAGGAAAATATTGAGTGGGATAAAAAGTTATATCTAAATCAGCTAATACCCTATCTGTATACCAAATTTCATCAAAATCCGTTCAGTAGTTTCGGCGTTATTGACGGACAAACATCCAAACAAAGAAATTTTGACATTTATAATATTAATAGGATATTAACAAACTTTCTATAGATTGCAGTTTGGGTCGGAACTATTTTGGAAGATACGACGTATAAATTATTAGAAGAAGACCTAAGAGGTAATCAAAATTTTAATTTCGCACCTGCTTTTTTATTGTACATATTTTGGGCATAAAATATTTTTATTCGTGTATTTTTTAGCTAAGAAAATAAACGAAATGAATAACAAAGAAGATTTGTTAATTACTTTAGTAAAACTATCACTCTCCCAAAGGAATTCAGGTTTTTTATTTTGTTTTATTTATTTTTTATTATTGTTTATTTTTTTATTATAAGTAATTTAAAATAATAAGTAAATAGTAATTTAAAAAATATAAATATATTTTTACCTATATTTTTTTTTATTATGTATGGTCAACATTTTTAAACTGCTTGTTTACAGACTTAGAAGAAGAAGAAGGTCCCGTATTGGATTTTATCGATGATGTTATCGATAACGTTATGGTAAGGAGAAACTTAACAAAATGCATGGGTACCATCTATAAAAATCTATATTTAATTGGTTTAAAACACATTTCAGAAAATATGTAATCCGCAACTAGAAGGCATTGTTCTGGACAACTATTCTGAAAATAAATCACATGCAAGCAGTGAGGATCGAGATATGAATATTGCATCACCACTGGCTTTAGAAAATAATGAATACAATACACCTTTTCTACACGAAAATATTCTTAACGAAACGAAGGATAATATAACAGATAATAAAGGAAATTCAAATAATGTAACTACAGGTCAAATTCAAAATGAATTCAACAAGAATAGTGATACCATCATCACTGATGATTCTAATAAAGACGAACCCAATATTCAACTCGTAAATAAAAGTGGAATCAGTGATGTAGTTGATAAAGAAACTATCTCCGATACTGATGAAAATGAGGAACAGCCACATAGTAATAATGTACAAATACAAGAAAACTCTGAACTCAAATCAATCCCTGAGATAATACATTTGGATGATGATACTGCAGCTTTAGAAGGTTTGAGCCTTAATAACTTGGAGGCGTCGAAGTTGAATAAAGTGAGTGATGTAGTTGGGATATTTACTGAAGAGTCTTATGATGACAAGGATAAAAAAGTTCAATTTTCAGATTTAGATTCGGGTAACTTTTTTATTTTATTTTTTTTATCAGTAAGAGTATACATCTCTATTACCAGTTTCCATTAATTATCATATAATTTAATACTATATTCATTTTAAGGAATTCGAGGCAGGAATCAACAATTAAATAAGAGTGGGTAAGTTGCTCAACTGATAAATACCATTCAGAATAAGACTAATAGAGCACTTAATATATATGAATGAAATTATGTATGTACATATCCTCAGTAAAAATAAAAATGACGTTACAATTTTTACACTAAAAATATCAATGCAATCTGATTGCACTACTGCTGACTAATATTTAATTAAATATGTTTAAAGGTCTCAAGCCCTAGTACAACAAATCGATACCGTACCCTCATTAACTTCTGCACATATTAAGCCAAAAATAGTACTCTCACCGCCGAATAAAAATTTGCTAAGTAAGTATAATAAATAACGTAAAATAATGTAATGTTTATATAACATATAGCGGAATGAAATGTATTTTTTATGAATCTTACTATTGTAAGATATCTAATGTAATCTATTTCGAAAAACATACTATACACTTTAAATAACTTCATACTGCATAATTAATTAAACATACAAATAATACAGGTGACTTAGACGAATCATGGCCAAAAGACTTAGTTAATCCTGTTCCCAAGGCCACCGCAAATATCAGTAGATCTGTCACTTCGCTAGGCAATATCGTAGAAAATGAAGAAAAACTTTCTGCCATAATTATAGAAAACGGATTACAAAAGGATTTAAAATCTATTTTGGATAACAATCTATCTAAACCAGATTATGAAGAAAGGAATGCAGATAAAAAATATGGAGAATTAGCAAAAGATAAAATAACAAATCAAAACTTGGATGACACAGTAGTGTCACCAACAAATAGATCACAAGAACAAAAGGGTGAATACAAAGGTAATGTTCTTGGTACGTTGAACGAATCAACTAATGAATTATTTATAAAACCATATGAAACTGAAGCTGGTAGAACTATTGGAATAGTGGACAAAGATAGAAATCAAAAACATGACGTACCCATAGAAAGTTCTGCAAATGACAATAATGCTAATGCACCTCAAAAAGCTCGTCTCTTATCCATAAATGCAAGTCATCCAATAGAAAAGACTACAAAATGCGAAGAAAGCGGAACAAGCGCAACAAATATTATATATCAGGCAGTTCAACAGAAGATGAATTCTTCTTATACTCTGCCAGGACATAAGTTTGATTATAGTAAGTATGATGTTAAAACTTCAAAACAATATCATGAATAACTACACACATACATTTTTCGTTAATACTCGTAGTAATTAAACATGGTAGTTGTATCGGTCCCCTAGACTGGCGTATTTACTCTAGGAGCAAAAGACATGCGAGTACGGTACGATTTTAAAATGATTGTTTTCTATGTTCGTTTTTTAGTTTTTTTTTTCGTTATCATCTTTCTTAGCCCACTTATTTAAATGCAATATTCGCTTTTATTTTACTTATTTACCTGCGTCCTCCGTTAGACTTCTGAACAAACATAAGGAGCAATAGACTACAATGTCTTGATTGATTTTTTCATCACCACAATATATTAATTATACTCTTAATGATGCCATGAAATGTTCAATATTCTCAATTCCCCACATTATCCAATAAATTATTGAAATAAATACACACTAAAGACAGTGAAATATTTTTAGAAGTCAACCCAAACACGCTCCCATCGTGGCTAAGGCACGACCGCGGAAGAGGTGAACCGAGTGAAGATTCAATCGATGGACAATATACGAGTAAAAGTAAATGATTTTATCATGATTCTGAAGATCGTTTATAAATAAAAACCGATTAATAATGTTTAAATCTAATTTCAGAAAAATTAAAAGAAAACGAAATACGCATCTGGTGTAAAGATTTAGAACGGATGTTCGCCAATTTGGACTTATGGAATAGCTGGTTAGAAACTACATGCAAAAATATTTTATTTCTAAAACAAAAAAGAGGTGTGTTATAATTAGAAAACAACTTTTGTTTAATTAATAGGTACCTTTATTAATTTATAGTGTTTAATTTTTTCGCAGATTATTCTGAATTATCCAAATCACTAATTACACATACAAGAAGAAAATATGCTAGAGAATGGTTGACATTAAAGAAAAATATTGACAAAGATTCTATTTTGTGGACGAAGATGAATCAACGAGCGAACGATAAATTGCAAAATTACAAAGCTAGGGTAAATAACTGGCTAAATAGTGAAAACATAAAAAACACGTTTTTTTTCTGCTTGTTTGTTAACAGTGCTCATTGGAAGAAAAATCACAAGCACAACCGCATCCGCGATTTATTTTTAATAATAAAATGATCATGGAAGCAATGGAAGACATAGATAGAATAAGCTTCTGGATTCATAGATCGGTATTTTATATTCATAATCGCTATTTTTTCATCTTGTTTTTATTATTATACAATATTCGGTTATGTGCGCAGCGGTTTAAATCAAGATACTTTGTATTTTATTTTTTTACTTCGGTGTAAATAATAATTTGTGTTTTAATAACCTAACCAAAAAGACATCATTTTAAGTTTGACTAATAAGGTTCAATAGTTGATTAAATTCAATATCATAAAAAATACTTAATTCATAATATTTTGATGGATGTTAATTGTAAAAAAAATAGTTGTTGGTAATTTTCTTTGATATATCAAGGCAATTGACTGTTTCTCATTATATAGCTTTTATTAAATTTGTGGTAGTCGCGTACCGACACTTCAATGGATTCAAAGTTATTTATACAAACGAAAACAATGTATTGGCATAATTAATCTAGAAAAAAAAAACAATCAGTGTTAAATAAATCTAGGTCTGTAAAACATGAACGGTGTCCCACAGGGCAGCGTTCTGAGCTCACTTTTATACGCATATACGTAGATACTCGAAACTAGATACTGACATGACAATAATATTGATTTTGGAAATGACTTAAATAATCCAATCAAATAAATAACGCAATGGCTACATTTATTATCTTTTTTTTATATATAAAATATATGAACAAGTTCGAAATTACAACTTTTTTGCATCTCCTAATTTGCTAATACGTCATTTTGTCAATTTTAAATTTGTATTAATTGCTCAACTGGTCACCCGAACCGTTGAAGAGAATATTGCCGTACGAAATGACAATCCGTATCTTGCCGATTGGTAGTTTAGTATAAAAGCTCTTACACCACATATGAACATTTTTGTCTTCAGATTGTATCAACAGAATATTGTATGTTATGTGACTGCAAGAAGATTGCGTTGAGGCGATAATGTGTTTTGTGAAGATATTACGAAGTATTACTATAACAACATTTAATACTAATAAAAAAAACAGTCGAGTGAAATATCAGATTGTATTTTTACTTAATATATAATGGCTATGAAGTATACTGTCACTTGTAGTGCACTATCATTTGATTAAAATCATACTTTCGTATATGAGAATCTCTGCAACCGGCAATTATCCACTTTCCGTTGAACGATAGATCTCTGATGCCATCACAATCGGATCCAGTTAACTGTACCCTGGTCATTGCGTACGACTGCTGTAGTGACAGGACAGTGCACGTGCCATCTTGACGCCCGACCACAAACAATTGATTTGGAAGCGCAATCAGACTGAGAACAGGACTGGCCGATTCCTCCCACTTTCTTATAACGTCACTATTGCTCAGTTTCATTTGTATTACCTGTATATCAAGAGATAATTTGTAAAAAAATGTGAAGTATATTACACATTTTTATACTCATATAGTGTTTGATTTGTATTGCATATCTGTGTGATTGATTCACAGTCCTTTTTTGTACCAAAGGGAAGTAAAAGAAGGGAAGACCTTCACATTTTATCGACCTGGACGACGGCCGGTAAACTGGGGTTCTCCAACTACAAGGGACAGCGGTCAGGTGCAGTTGACCTATCCGACAAAACCCTTCGTATTACCCTCAAGTATAATTACGTAATACCAACATGCAATCAATTTGAACTTTACTAATTGGAGAAATTTGGCATCTTCTAACTTGTGTTCATTGGTGTATTTATGCTATCAATTTAATTTGCTTATATGTAGAATAATATAATGTATCATCATAATTAAACAAATAAATATACAATAGTACCTTTCCATCGGCACAGCCTAAAATTGCCGTTTCTTCAATAACAACGCAAGCATTACAAGGAGACTCCAGCTGTTTTCGGAATAATTCTTCACGTCTGGCGATATGAGTACACACTACTAATCCGCTTTCGCAGCCAACCACTAGCAGCTTGTCGCTTGTTCCTACCTGAAAAGCATATTTTTTTACGTTCATTTAAGTTGATCTGATATATGTTTTTTCCTCCACACCATCTTGCACATGAAATTTAAAATTACATTAAATCAGCAAATTTTCTTCAATTGAATTTCATTCATTTGTAAATTTTTAATTCTATAATTGCAATTGCTCTTGTTGAATAATTTATAATAACAAATTCATTAAATTATACCATTACCTCTCGTTCATTCTCAACTTCATGCTTATCATTTGTTTTTGCTAATTCACAGCAGTTTATGGGTCCATGTCCTTCAGTTATATTACTTAAGCAGTTTGATTCACCAACATCCCACAATTTAGCTGAGCCATCTCTGCAAATAATTACATAGATATGAAAGTCTTAAATTTAAAATCTGATTTTAGTACTTATATGTATATTTCTTCTTATTCAATTTGATTCCATTTCATCTATAGGGAAGCAATTGGGACATTAATAGACTGCTTATAATTATATTATATTACTGAAATATTCTTACTTGCTAACAGTTACAACATTTCTTCCTTTTTCTATGATAGATATATCAGTAACAGCCATTGTGTGCCCTTTTAAAGTAACAGGGTTTATTCCAGATTCAGCAGACCAAATTCTACAAGAACCATCTGCTCCAGCAGATATAACAACAATACCAGATGGAAACAATCTACATTTATACACAGGACCACCATGTCCTTTCAAATCAAGCAGAATTTCACCTAAAAAAATAATAGCACTGCAATCACAATTTAAAATTATGAAATACTAACTAAATTTACAGAAGGGTTGCCAACCGTACTATATAGTATTGTACTATATTTCAGGTCTGCATACTATATTCTGTTCCCTGTTGAATTAATACATAGTATGCATAAATATTATATTTTCAGCATCGAAAACTAACAAAACAATTCTTCATTTTACGAATATACATTTATATATATATATATATATATATATATATATATATATATATATTATAATAAATTTGGTTTTTGCTAATACTATAACTCGTCATAAAACTGAATGAATTTTTTGCCCATATATTAAAAATTGCTATCAGTCCTACTACCAGGCGTTTAGGGAACTGGGGCCATCGCGACAGCTGCCCTAACTAAACCCACATTATTCAATAACTCTGTAGCCTATGGGTTTGGGCGAGTAGCCAGTATTTGAGAGTAACGTTTTTTATAATTTTTAATTTCTATTAGTAAAGTAGGTGTGTCCAAGTCAGTACTTGCGCCATACGCCAGTGCGTATTGCACTGTTTTGCGTGAACAATGGTGCATTTACGATGTTTCGGAGGATTCACATTATGTTACTATTACTAACCCATAAGGGCCTACTGTGCCAGACACGATCAAAAGCCTGTTCCGCATCTAGAAATGCTGCAAACGCATACGCCTTATTTTCAAATCCTTTACATACGGTGTGATAAACGCGAACCCGTTCGACGGTAGAGTGAGACTTTCTGAATCCAAACTTGTGATCCGGAACTAGGCAACACTGTTTTTTGCCTATAAAGAAATATTATTTCCCAAAGCTTCAGGCGTTAGGCTAATGGATATATATGATGAAACTTGACTTGGTGGTTTACCTGGCTTATGAATAAATATGATTGTTGATATTTTCCATAAAGAAGGGAAATGAGAATGTCTAATAACAGCATTATTTAAGTATGTCAGATATACTATGACTTCCTTGGCAGTTTCTTTAGTATTAAGGGAGTGATCAGATCACAACCTGGAGCTTTCTTTGAATCTAAATACAATACGGTTTTGAGATTCAAGGTAAATAAGGTCTGTTATTATTTCTCTGGGTGAAGTTGGTTTGATAGGTAAAGATATTCGAAAGTCCTGATTGAGAATTTCTAATATCTCGTGGTTGTCTCCCCAACCTTCATTGGGGATGAATATTTCTGCCAAGTGTGTCGCAAAAGTTTCTGCTTTTTTACTATCTGACCGCGACCAATTTGTTTGTGTTCTAATTGGAGGGTTGTGTTTTTGTGATTTGGTTGTGTTTACGTTGCCTTCTATAAAGAGTGCTCGCCTTGATCAGTTGCTGATAATATAAATAATTGTGATCACATTTTATTGTTGTTAGACTCCTCGAGCATAGGTTTTAATTCTCTCGTGGCGCCATAAAACTTTCTTCTGTCAGATGGATGACGAGATAATTGTCAAACAAGTCTTAAATGCCGTTTCTCGTCAGCTTGATTTGTAACGGCTGAAACTGTTGAATTTGATGTTGTTTCAGTTCTGGCGAGTTAACCCAACAACTTTTTTGAATTAAGTTTGTGATAACCGGTAAGTTTGTAATAAAGGTAGACCCGGAAACCATCCCAATTAATTCTAAAGTTATAAAGAGAGTCTGGAGGCTCCTGGTTGATAACTGTGCTGTTTATATCAAGTATAAGTGCAGTATGGTCAGATAATCACTCAAAGCATGACTAAAAGTCTAAGAGATCCGGAAGTATTTCGGATTCAAAGGCCAATAAGAAGGTTCACCAATAGACCAGGTTTGTAGTATGGGATATTATGGGATGAGGGCAATATAAAGCAGATATTATTATTAATCCGGTGCAATCCTTCAGCTTTACTGATTTAGGATAATGCTTTGTGATTGTAGCTTGGATATATAGTGATAAAACGATTTTAATATGGTGTTTTAGATTAGCTTCAATGACGAGTGCTGATCCTGCATTTGCGCTGCTATCTGGGTGTGGTGTACAATATAGCCTTTGATTTGGAAAGAAATTCTAGTAGTTGCATGTGATTTAGAAATCAAAACTATATACAGTCTAATTTTCATTATGATAATCTCAACCTCTAATATATTTGATGCCAGACAATATATGGTCCAACTCACGATGCAGAGGGAAGGAATTTTGATTTCATACTGGTTTTTACAGTTGTAAATAGATTTAGTAATATTACTATTTGTTGTCTATAAATAGTCTATATTTTCTGTTTGCTTCACTATTTTAAAAAATGGTGTTAGAGCTTGTAATTCTGTTATTTAAGACAGAAATATAAATCCAAACAAATATGAGTTTGTATATTGTTTTACATGAAATCTGTGGATATTTATTCATACTTTTTATAAAGTTTACTTATGTAACCAGGCCAAAATGGCTGAACAGATATGGCACAGAGAGATTATAATCTAAAATAGCATGCACACTATTTTATGCTATATTTTATAAGGGCAGAAAACTGTTAAGTACTAAATATTTTTAAGTGTGTGTATATTTTTCTGAAGAAATGTTGGCAACCCTAATTAACAGTGTAGTTAAGATCTCTAGTGGCTCATTTAAAGCAAGTTACTTGATAGCAAAATTTAAGGTAAAATTCCAGACAGTTTTTTAATCAAGAATTGTGACTATGGTGAACGCTTTGTGATTAAAAATAACATAAATACTTTCGTCAGTGTCAAGTTAATACAAAATTAATTCATCACATCCACTAGTAGTTAAAGTACTATATCAGCTTACTTGTTCTACTATCCCATACTAATAGTTTGTCTTCTTCACAAGATGATACAGCTAATGAATTTTCAGCTATTGACACTGACAACACAGCTTTTGTGTGTACTTTATGAGTTTTAGTTGGAGCTACAAAAGCTACTTTCAAACCAGACTTTATATGTTTAACAACTAGATTTAAATTTCCATGTGAAACATATTGATAATTATCTGTAAAGCTAATTTTGATTTTGTTATCAAGATTATTTATAGCTGTTTTTAATTTATCATGTATGCTCATCTCATTAAGGTACTTCGATGATATCCACGCCTCTGCCTTGGGCAATCTGTGAAGACAATAAATCTTTATTAATTGCCAAACTATTACATTTACGTCACTAATAATTTATAAAGGATTTTTAAACTATAATTTACTAAATCACAAAACATGTAATTTGGTTTCAATTCTTTAACATTACAGTACTGCTTCAACTCAGCCTCAAAATTTAATTTTTGGTTTAATAGTAGAAACCTTAGTTTTCCTTCTGTTTATTTGAATTTGACTATAAGCAAATATTATGTGAGAATGTTTAAGTAGGAATGCTGGGTTATCCTTCATTTTTATTTTGAAGTAATAATAATGTGAATATGTAAATGTGTTAAGACTCTTTGGAGTACTTGATGTTGGTCAATAAGCCATATAATTTGGGTGAGTAAAGTGATCTTGTGTTTGGCAGAGTATTGACTTAAAGGTTAATTTAATTCTTGATAGTACTAACTCTGAGCTCATTATAGAGCTCAGAACTATGAATCATCATATAAAATATTTAATATGTCATTTTGTGCCCTCTAATTAATTGCTACCCTGGAACTACAGGCCGATTCTGCTAGATGCTGTATTCTAATCAGAAATTATACAAGGAAAATATTTTTATTTATGTAAAAAATCTGGATTAAAATAGACAATATTACATGTAAATATTGAAGTATTGGGATGTTATTGCATTATTAATCAAGAATTAGCGCCAGACAACCGGTAATGTGAACTTTTTTATTATGGGAATTTATGGAATGAAAACTTTAACCGGTAATATATATACATATATAATAATTCAACGTTGCGTGAAAGTTTCAAGGGAATCTAGGGATTACTTTTCGAGTTTTATGGACAAAACCTACGGACGTTAATTTTTACAGGAGTACATTGAAAGAACCTTATAACATCGTTCCAATCGCTTTGTATGGTGACTACAGGTATTGCTGACATCCTGTAAATTAATTATTTTACAACGGCACTAAAAATGAACTGAAAATCAAACCACAAAACTTTATGATTTAAAACCAACAAGTTGATAACAATGACAAAACAAAATCTAAGTCACAGACAAAGAGAACAGTAATAATACGGAAACATATGATCATATGGCAAAGAGAAAAATAATACAGTGGGTCATATGGTCACAGATTAAGAAGGAGATACGAGTTGACGTTGGCCAACTTTTATTAACTGACTGAATGAAAATATCGACAAATCAATAATATTCTATCAATAATTGATATAGGTAATTGATTATATATTTAATATCCATATAATGAATATATAGATGTCGCTACGGTATGTTCTTGAATTCTTCATGAGAACCTTACCGGCTTTCTTCCATGTATAAAAGTAACTTATTTTTCAAAACTTAATACTCGACTCATATTCTATTTGTACTTTTTCGTAATTGTATTGATATCTAAGATTCGAACTTTGCAAATTTCAGTTTTATAACATGTAAGTTAAAAGGAATGGAAATAACTGTCTTTGGTCCATTCGTTTGCTCCAAAAATCAACTTTTGTAGAGTCGCCATCTAGTGGAGGTGCTTTTTTAGTGCTTTCTTTTCTTTAAATACTTCCTCATTACGACTTTAGATTGTCCGTTAAATGAAGAAGTCTTTAAAAAAAATAAAGAAACTACAAAATTGTATGTCTCTAGATGGCAGCACAAATTGTAGGATTTAAATGTCAATTCATGACGTTATATTAAAGAGAATAGAATTGTCAGTGTTGTTATGGATCTGGTAATTCGGATTAATATAAATTACGCAAACGAAACGCGAGTAATACCAACGAATCTTTGAATAACTTTCTGTTTATTTGTATAAAGGAAAATGGAAACTAACATAATGGATGTGAGCAGGTTTTTTAAAAGTTATGGAAATCGATATAATTAATCCTGTGAAATTATTAAAAGTAGCATTTAGCTACGTTATTCAATAATATTATCGTAAAATTATTTTTGTAAATAACATGCTTATGCCATAGCAGGTTTAGGCATTTTTCATTATAATATTAAACAAAAGTTCTGAAAAAAATAACAAATAGGTAAGTTAGTTTTGTTGCTATTAGTTGTTCCTTGTTTAATTAACAGCAACAAAACTACTCAACTATCAAATCTCAATGATGTTTTTATATTATGCATGGTGAATGAATGAATAGGGTTTATTAATCAGCAACAAAGGTATAAAAAACGATAATTATAATAAAAAATCCGTTTGTTATCCATATACTTACCCGATATGTATAAAATATGCTAGGTACTTGTACAAAATAACATGACTTCTGGTTAGAATGACGTATACAGCGTGTTTGGTAATACCTGTATAATCCCTAAACATGGCCATAAAGAACACAATTGATATGTCAAAAAACAATTTCATGTAAATTGATATTTTCATACAAATATTGGAACAATTTGTTTTCAATTACTATGCTACAACCCTGTACGCTTATACGTGCCGTCCCGGCGTACTCGCTCTTTCTCTCTCTCTCTCTCTCATCACCTCTCACTCTCTCGTTACCTAGAATACATTTTGATGTCGCCAACGCGCGCACTCGACTACGTATGAGTTTACTTGTAATTAAAACAATTTAAGATTAAACAGGTACATACCTACAGCGTTCTAATCACTCTTTCAGCTTTCACTTGTCAACATTACCTACACTTCACGTCCGCTTTATCAGTCCAGGGTCTCGATATGCCGGCCATCGCATAAAACACACATCTCCATTCGACTCGACACAGACCGTGTCGTGTTACTCTCGACGTAAAATCATATCCTCTGTTTCGATGGAATAGGTGTTCGGCCGACCTACTTGTGGCACACTATGGAATGAACCAGTTGTATGTAACCGATTCACAAGTGCCGCGAATCACCGGTAAGAAGGAAGACGTCGATGGTTTTCAGATCTTCCTGACACGTGGCGCTCGTCATAACGCCGCCGAGCCGCAGCAAGATTACCGTCACAAGCACCGCCACACATTATCATCTCGTAATATTAGGCATTTGAGTACGAATTCATTGCACTGACCGCACACAAACATAACACACAGGTAAACAGAACGAGAATGAAAAACGAACCAAAAGTCCCGAAAGAACGAAAACGTAAGTTGACCTTCTAAATTCTGAAAACTCACAAGTACGCCGATGAAAGTCACGGACGCGACTGACGCGATGACCAAAACTACATAGGTTATTATTATTGCAACTCGAACACCAATGTACCTAAATCAAAAGTGCACCGATTTAGGGTTCCGCGTCATCAAATTCTGTGTTACGTAACCTACCTAACAAAAAATCGTTATTTTTTTATTGAATTAAACAATGAAATTTCAAAGTAACTTATCATACTATTTTTTACTGACGAAATTGATAATTAGGCTGTTTACTTATTATTACAATTTTATTTACGCTTTTCACGGTTACAAAAGAAAAAAAGGCCATAATATTAAAAGTGGTTACCTAATTTAAGACCAAGTCATTAACAAAATTATAAGGCATAAAAAATTATTGATTAAATTAGAAAAGAAAAGAAATATTATTTATTATTAGACCTTTCCATTACAACTAACTTTATTTAATTATCATTTAAACTAAGAATAAGCGAGATACTTAGATTATTAATATCATTGTATAAGTCCGTATTTTATTGTTTCGTAAAAATAACACGGCTTTATGAAAAAAATAACAAAACTTCAAAGCAAATAATCTACAGAACCTTACTGACACATCAGAAACCCGAGTTTCTCAATACACATCGTCGTCGATTTTATGTCTCTGTCGCTCCTTCTTGCATAGACTAATGTGAGCAATGGTGCAGATATTGAACTTCAATCAAAGTATTTGCAATTTCTTTTTTATTTTGACTGTATTATTAGAGAAGTTTTCTTAATAATAGTTTTTGAAACACCGTTAATCACAAGATTAGTGTTTTTTTATGGTTAAAAGTCATTTACTACTAACTTTTTCTTTGTTTGGAAATAATAAATTACTCTCGGATGCATATTTATTCTAGGCATTTATCTTTAGATTTATTTAACTTCTGTTATTTTTTAAACTAGTTCGGCACATGGAGTCGATGACCAAATACAACACAACAGCTGTTTTTAGGGTTGTCAGCGTACAGTTTTACTTCGAAGAAAAAAAGCTGAATATCTAGGTCATGTGCTGGGTTTCAGACTTAGTGATCATTTTTCTGGGTTCTATTCATCATACCGTATGTGCCATATTCGGGATTATACAGGTATTACCAAACACGCTGTATACAAAGTACAAAGTGCAAATAGGTTGTCCTTTCGAAAATAAATTTTGTTTTTGAACTGATCCTCAGTTATGTCATAATTAAATTATCTTTATAAAAATTCAAAAATACAAGAATCGTCCGTTCGAAACGAATTGCTTTAAAAGGTTATAACGTCGAGCCAGGTTTATATTTATTCGTATGGTGGGTATGTGTTTTTTTTCATTCTTAAAGTAATATTGTCAATATTATATTGATTTCCTACTCAGCCGACTCTAGAAATCAGTTTTATTGAAATATATTATTTCTTTACTACCTAAAGTAATCACGCTATCTTAAAAATCTCTGCAGTGGTGTCGTGTGTCGGCTGGCTCATGCGTCAAGCTCGTCAGCGGGTGCAATAAAATAGAGTGAAAAAAACAGCCCTTACTGAGTTTCTTACTGGTTCTACTCAGTACAAGGTCCCCCCCCCCCGTAGTTTTGCGATCCTTTGGCATAGTTTTCGACTTTCACCAGTACTATGTAACAGCCCTAGACTGAATGGATTTCGATATTTATATTAATATCATTCGATATTTTCATGCATAATGACACATACAAGTACTAGCTGAATTCTGCGCTCCACTTTTTGTTCTTCATTCCAAACCCGAATTCAGATAAAAGTTACGAGCAACCAATAAATTGGCTAATGTTGACGTATAAACCAAACATCGTTCCTTTACACGTAATATAATAAATAACTTAAACTTTTGATTCAAATAAATTAAAATTAAATTTAAAGTTAGATATTATAAAAAACACGAAGCGATGTCATATTTATTAATTTTCGATACTCAATTTAGCTTTATTACGTTAGAAACAAAATTTGATTTGAATATCATAGACAATATCCAAACATCGCGAGTGACATCTAGTATGATTTCAAGAACTAATTTTTAAATACTTCCTCATTAGCGAATACACTTGCATCGGAGATGAGGTTGGCAACCAGTTTGTGAGAAATGAATGATATCTATGGTATAGTACAAATTTTCCTTGGGCAACATTGTTCATGTTTTTGTTTATGATTTTTTCATAAAAGTGCAAAAGTGGGCGAAGCGATTTAGCTATTTGTTTATTGCAGTGTTATTTCTTGTGTTTAGCCGTCTTAGTTTCATACAGGCATGTTATTTAATACTGTACTCCATAAAAATGCATTTTTCTATTCCTAATCTACAACAATTTCATGATGACAATGGAATATCATACACGGTAAATATTTACGTTCAATACCATATTTTTGTGTTAAACTTTTTTTTGCTATATATGTGTAATCGTACATTATTCAATAATGCTGTCGTGGATTGTTTTTAGGGATACAATATATATATTGATGGGGTTTTCCACTGTACAGCGCGATATAAACAACTTCTTAGTCTACATGAACAGCTGCAAGCTCAAAACCCCTGTTTCAAATTGCCGCAGTTTCCTCCAAAAAAGTTGTTCCTTACAAGTTCACAGCTAGAAGAACGGAGAATTTTATTAGAAAAATATATACAATTAGGTGAGCTACAGAAAAGTCTTATATTAAAAAAAAATATTATTCGTTTTCAAACTTGCCAGTGTTCTTTTTTCAGTTGGTCAAAATCCAATATTAGCGAATTCTGATCTCCTTATCACATTCCTATTTTCTGCACAACAAGAAACACATGGTGTAAGAATGCATGAAGTGGACATAGAAATATCTCTGATGAATGGATACAGAATACCTTTGTCTGTCTCATCAATAGATACTTCAAGTGCTATATTAGATATTGCATGTAATTATATAAATTTGCCAAAAGAATTGATTAAGTATTTCTCTCTGTTCTTATTCAATTGGAGCTATGCAAAAGATGCACAGCCATCTTTAAAGAAATTGGAAGACTATGAATCTCCTTATATATCTCAAAAATATGTGAGGCCAGATGATAAAATTGTGTTAAGAAAAAGGTATGTATGGTTCAGTTTTTTCATGTTTTTGCTTTTTATAAAATTTAGGGTCTTATCAATATTGTTTCAGAACTTTTTATATCTTAAAAGCTTTCAGTTATTATAGTACAGCAGTTGTATAATTTAGTGCTGTGGCAAATTTGTTAATACATTTACAAATTTTCAGTTATTGGGACCCTTGCTATGATGTTGACTTGATGATAGACCGGGTTTCTTTAGACCTTTTGTATTTACAAATAATTGAGGAAATAGATCTAGGATGGATCACTGCAGACACACAAACTAAAAACATTTTATCTGCATATGAAGCAAAGAAACAGAAAAGAGAGGTAAGTATGTAATGATTTCATTTGATTAAAGCTGTTGCACATATTTAAACTACTTTGTTTAAAAATGAAAGTGCATTCACTTTTCACAGTAATTAGTTATTTATTGAAAAAAACCAATGAGCTAAAAGAGGTATTGTTTAAAATCATAATTGGACATAGTTATGCAAACTAGATCCAACCCACAAATGTAGAGAATAAAGGGTTTTCTGTTTTTAGTTAATTTTTACTGTATCTATTTCATATATCTTATTTTGGCTGTAAAGTAATTATAACATTTTATATAGTAAAAGAAGAATAAAATTGATATTATACAATGTATAATTTATGTTGTCCCTAAACAGCACTCTTACAGTATATGATAAGAAGCTATATTAAGCATTTCTTTCATTATACAGCTATCTCAATCTCAAGATTATTATACTGTTATCAATAAAGTTGGGTCAAAGTGGAATGTGCCTAAGTTGGTAAACATATGTTGATGTGTGCTGTAACTTTTTAATTTTGGGTTCTTACATGTAAGTTCAGCCTCAATGTTTTTCCATTATCAATGTGTTATTATTTGGTTGGTGTATATGATCTGCCAATAAGCTTGTCTTTCTATAAAAAATAATTAAATCTGAACACTTTCTGGGAAATCAGAGAAGTATAAATTGGCCTATCAGGGAAAATGTTTAGGTAAACTATATAATCAGGTGATCTATGTAAGATATTTGTATGATACTATGATTTTATATCCTGCGAATTTATCATAAATGTTTTTGTATGAAGTGTAAATAATTTTTATTTTAAAATATTCAATTCAAATGATACTTTAGGTGCGATTCAGAGTGTACATGTATGCAATGGTTTATATTATTTCTAGGGATGCATCAATATGCACTTTGGCCAATACTATACCTATATTTATAAACAAAGTATCATCTATACATTATCGATATGGACCATGAAAATTCAGAGAATGCTATAGATTATATAAGTGTAGTAGCTGAACCGGCATATGTCAATTATGAATATTGAATTCATCCTGTCTCAATTATGAATATTGAATTCAAATTAATTTTTTTTTAGTTATGCAGTCATTTTAGTTACTCTAGTGAATATCAAATTTGTATGGGTAATGTCGCTTTAAAGTAATAAATTTTTTAATAGATGTTTGTGCAATTGGCTGATAGCCTTGTTCTCTTATTTTACATCCTTTTTGATGATATTTCCAGCGCGCATTTTGACAATTTTCTATGTTAAATTTCATAAGGTTACATTTAAATATCCAAAGCACTAAGATTAGATAAGAAATAATTCTATATAGAGGTTAAATATTCTTAAATTTTCAAATTTTACACAGATTTTTTATTTTTTCTTTCATAAGAATCTTCTCCTCACAATAACAAACACAAAAAAAAGGATTAGATTTTGGAGAATTAGAAATTGGTCCAGCCGTTCATGTATTGTATATATATCGGAATCGGCGATATTAATTTACCAATAAATTAATATCGCCGATTCCGAACGGTTGCCTGGAAGAGATCGCGTGTAAGTCAGTCAGCCGTCAATAGTGCTGATTGTTAGATTTAAACCTTAACTTATTTTTGTTTGTATGGTATACGTACAATGTTTATATATTTACAATAAAGAATATTTCATCAATTATATCGAAAAACTAGCAATATTGCCGATATTCGGTATCAATATCAGATGCATCCCTAATTATTTCATACAAAATATTCTAAAATTCCTTTCTTTTGCATTCCATTCTGATAGATTTATTTATACCATCAAAAATATGATAAATTTTCTTTAGTATATAGAACTGGCAAGGACGTTACGGCACTACGGCAGGATACCAGCTGGAGAAGCAATCACAGATTCATCTGTCATTTCTGATGATGGCAGTGATCAATGCAAAGTGTTGGTGTCTCTTGGCGCTAAGGAGCTCACCTTGACCACAGCTCTACATCGCTATAAAGAACAGCGTTTTAAAGTCACCAGGATGAGATGCTGGCGTATAACGACACTGCACGCGGTAAGCAATGAAACCTAGAAAATTATGTACCTACTCTAGATATACCCGATCTATAATTTGCCTCCCTAACACCAATCATCATGAAGTCGTGACCTTGCTATTCTAGACATTGATTTAACGTTGAATATATTAATATAATTGGCAAATATTATTTAATACATACATTATGTAAGTCTGAATAAGTGACATTGATTAAATAATAAAAGAAATATCAGACTAATTGATTTATTCGCCCTATAAAAAAATTAAGGGATGTTCGGCGCCTACCTGAGGAGGATAATAAATTATTATCTAGAGGGTAGGGTGGTGTTGTTCCAGGACACGAACGGCAGGATCATTTCCAGGGAAATGAGATTTGGTATTCCACAGGGATTGGTCCTTGTGCCGCTCTGTGGAACACGGGCTACGATTGGCTCCTCGAGGGGCAGTTCCCAAGGGGCGTTAATGTCATCTGCCACGCAATGATACTCCAATCACAGCCCGGGGTAGAAGTTAAGAGGTGGCCAAGATCGTAGCACAGGAAAGGATCGCTCATGTGATAACGAGGATAGGGAGATTAGGCCAGAAGGTGGCAGTTAAAAAGACGGAGGCCATCTTCTTCCATGGCCCCAGAAGAGGTTCACCGGCGAGGGCGAGCATGAGATGGGGTGGAGAGGCCATTCCCATGAGGCCAAGCATCAAGTACCTTAGTCTAGTGCTGGACGGTTGCTGGAAATTTGACAGTCACTTCAAACAGCTAACACTCAGGGTACTTAAGGCCTTAGGGAAATTGTTGTCAGGACCAGGCTCTGTCTGCCGGAAACTATTCACCGGGGTGATCCTATTGGGTTCGTTGAGGGAGGCCCAAGGGAACAGCCTTGAGACAAGCCCTCAGGAAGCCCAGGTGGCCCGGATGACACTCTCAAACAAAGGCGGCAAGGGGGACCGGATCGCGCATTAAAGCATCCCCTCCTTCTATGCGTAGACGGGCCAGGGCTGACACCCCACCCGTGCCCCGGCGAGACTAGCTCGCAGGGATGATCCACCATTTGGGAAAAGGCTGTTATTTACCCAAGTCTTTTCTTTCCTGCAGAGGTCGACTCCACTCTCTCCCCCATGAGAGGAGTCCCAGCGTGGATTGAGGCCGGGCCCTCCTTGCAGGATACCGGACTCATCCATCCGCGTGAGGTGAACCGCAGCGGGTTTTATCAAGTAGGCCAACCACACTAACCTGCCATTCTCAGGGCGGAATGTTTGGAGAGTCCTGATTTGAGGTTTAAGGTGCATTTCCCCTGCGTTATCAAAAAAAGGATGTTCGGCTCCATCGATTAGGCCGTCTCTCATTTTTGCCGCCTCTTATTTTTGCTGCTTTAACAAATGCTCAACTGGCCCTACTTTTATATCAGACCACGTGTTTGCTTAGAGCAAAATTACATCTGTGACTTCATATTGTTATAATGAGATTTATTAATATCACCTTTTTTATAACAAAAATAAGTGAACCGGCAAACGTTCTTTTGTCATATAAATTTAGGGTAGATGACCCTTATCACTTAAGGGTATAAAAATAGATAATTACCTATTCGCAGACCTACTGAATATACAAGTAAAATTTCATCAAAATCGGTCAAGCCGTTTTGTATGGTAACTAAAACTGATATGAAAATTCTATCGACAAACCTATAGTGATTTATGATATAGACGTTAAAAGGGAGACGTATCCCCACACTGAAAACAATTTCACCAAATTACTGATTTGATGTTACGAAATTTAAATTTTCAGTAATTTATCCGTATATGTGTATGATTGAATAATGTTCAATGTTGATGAGCAATCGTATCGTTTTCCTTATACATATTTAGATATATTTGTCTTTTACATTACCTACACCTGATTCACATCAAATTACATCACTGAACACCGCGCGGGTCAGTGCGTGCAACGTCTGAATGCAAAATTTATCGAGTAAATTTTTTTATTTTGTCGTATTGGCAAATATAGTTGTTCGTCGTAATTCAAGTGAAAACAACAACAGACAACCAAATCACGTCAAATAAGAGCCAAGGTGAAACAAATGCGCTATTTTATTGTATCGCGTAAACTCCTTAGTAACAAAAAACATTATTCTCTTCTTTCGTGTCGAGGTTTCCCTGTTACGTTGTATCTCACAAGTTACGCTCAGAGCAAGAATATGGGCATACGGGGTATGCTAGTAGCCACTGTTTGTGGTGCTGATTTGCATGCAAACCCCGAAAAAGTTTCCATCTAACCATGTTGTATTTGCAGCGACCAATTTGGGATCTGAGTCTGTTTATTGTTTTCTATATATGCCATGGTTCTAAGTAGCCGGAAGTTTAAAATTTTTCAGTAGAATGCACATATGGCTCAGATGGAGGGCACCAGTTGTTCCACAGCGAACAGCTCTTGAAAGAGTGCCTCAAACAACTCTCAAATTTTATGTTGGGCATTCAGATACTGTGAGTCGTTCTCCTGCTCCTGCTTCTCGTCAGCACTTGCATTCCTTCCGAACTTCTGTAGGTGCGATACCTTGTTTTTTTATAACGCAACCTTAAGCCTCAAATCAGGGCTCTCCAACCACCCCACCCTAAAAAAGGCAGGTTACATGGCTAGCCTACCTCTTAAAACCCGCTGCGGTTCACCTTACACGAATGGATGAGTCCGGTATCCTTCAAGAAGGGCCCGGTCAAGTGGAAGGGCAATACTTGTGAATGGATAGTTTGTTGAGCGGGGTTGTCTTGAGACATCCCGTGACGATGCATCAGGCGTTGTTTAAGCGAAGCAGTCACTAGATGCATAACGATCCACGCATGCCGGTCAGTGACTGCTTCGCTTAAACAACGCCTGCCGCATCGTCACGGGATGGGATCGTCACTCAAGCAGGTGTATTCGCCAGTAGAAAAGCACAGCGCATATAAGTAAAACGTAAGGTGTATGCGGGTCCTCCTCAGCTCATCGACGTCAGTTTGCGGAGCAGATTATTTCGCGACCTACCTTCATTTGGATATTCTTTGTATTATATAATTCGTGACCCTTATATACAAAGAGCATTCCGTGTTCGGCTCGCTCCGGTGTTGGTGGGTGACACAACGGTTTATCGAATGTCGTGTCGGCTCGTAACTTATGACTAAATTTAAATACTTAGTAATCAGAGCCGTACACATCATATATGGGTAACGTAAATTTCCACAAATAATTTGGTAATTATCAGTACAGTCATCTTTTATAAATACTGATACTGGTGCATCATGAAATATTACGTTCGCTACGTTTTACACACCGTTTCATATTTCCACAAACCAATCACCATTTCGGCAGTATTTTTTGATTTAGTTAATGAATTTAAGGTTCAAAGTCATTTGTTGCCCTTTGTGCCCCAAGACATTTTTTACCTATTCAACATTTCTGAAAAACCACGAGGAGGTACATACGTAATGCATAGTTTATGAGCACTAATACTATAATACTAGGCACACTGTATTTGTTATTTAATATTTTATATCTATAAATATAAAATTATAGCGTTACTGACTGAACAACGTACAGCCAAAACTACTTAGCGTAGAAAGTTGAAATTTGGAATGAAGATTCCTTAGAGAGAGGAGCACCAAGGGAGGATTTTTGGGATGAAAGTTTGTATGAAACTTCGTTAAAGTGCTAGGAATTTCAAATTTTGCATGCGGTTTCTTTTTAGGACGTAAGTGCCCACTGAGACGGGATTTTACGAAATTCTACCCCTAAGTGGGTAAATTAGGAGCCGAGTTTTCATGGAAGTTTCTCATTTCTGGACATAAAACTAGACCGCGCGGGCGAACTCGCAGGCAAAAGCTAGTATTCTGTAAAACTGTATTATCTTTACAAAAACAGAATATTCTACTCGTAAAAAACTGTATTATCTTTAAAGTACTAAAACACAAATGCTGTTCTGACAGTAATTTATATAAGTCAGATTTCGAACATTAATATTTATTTAAATTAAAGTAAAAGTTATTAAAACTTGTTATTGTTGGTTGAATTTAAGTCTCATAATAAATATTCTGGTACTATCAATTTCAAAATTATTTATTAAAAAATTAAAATATTTACATACGTCTGTTCATTGATTACTTACTAGTGTACTTTTGATTTTAATCCCTAACCATGCCTATGCTTCAAGTGTGTTCTGTTGACATGTCTTTGAGATTTAGTTAGGAATAGGTTGTTGGAGGTACACGAAAATATTAGCCATATTTAAAAATGTTTTAACAAGTATTATTTAAGTAAAAGTATTGTTTGTGATACACATAAAACTAGTTTATATAATTTGTTCTCCAAAAGTGTACCATAGTCAAAAAAGTTTTAGAACACCGCCTTAGTTAAATGTCGTGTAAATAGTTTATTGCCAGGGAAACTTTTACCGAGATCAAAAGTAGTTAAAGTAAAAGGCACTTTTTATAGTCGACTGTATATTAATATTCGTAAGATACAGTGGACTTAATTGATCTCCTATTTAATTTCGAACTGAATGATTGTTACATTACATCAATTTATCCATAACTGAAACATGTCGTCAATTTATTTTGAGTCTTAATTTGTTGTTAGTTAAGTTCTAAATCGTTTGAGGTAATTTGACATTTGTGATAACCTGATCTACTGTGTTACATGTACATAACCTTTGTTTAGGTGGAGAGGGCACCGACCAACGGACACGGGCCGCTACTCGAGGAGGCGAATAAAAACTTCGAGCTATCGTTTGAATATCTTGTTAGTAAAGACAATTTGAAATGGATAACCTTGAAGACGGAACATGCAACATTCATCAGCGTTTGTTTGCAGGTATATCTATATATATATTTATATTTATTTAAAACTTTATTGCAAAAACAGCAAATAGCGGTCTTAATGCCAAGGGCATTCTCTACCAGTCTGCCAGACAGGACGTGGGAGCGAAAAAATATATATATCGACGCTGGAAAGCAAACACGTAGTAACCCGCAAAACCAAAATTGTTCTTTAGAGCAGAAAAACTTTAATTTTTTTCGATAAATAATTCCTATAAACGTCCATGGTAACAAATTAGGTGTTCCTTAGTCAATTTATACGGAAAGAAGATATTTTTTCTTGGAAAAATATAAAGATTTTCCACTTTAAATATCCAATTTTGTTTTGCAGGTTCCTACGTGTTTGCTTTCCAGCGTCGATATATTAAATAATTTTTGGTTTTTCGAACATTTTGCCTTGTGGTACAAAGTAGATCATTTAATTCAGACAGACGGTTTTTTAATGATAAAACACAATTAAGATGTCAAATAATAAACATCTATAAGACATTGTGTTGTATCTACTGTTTTAACCCAACATTATTGTTGCCCTATTAAAACTGTATTTTTAATATAAATAAAGCACTAGAATAACTAAAATATTATAATTCTTCACAAGTCACAAAAGTCGTTAATACAATCGATTTGAATTCATTTTCACTCAAAATCGCTTTTGGTCTATTGCGAATGATAAAATCTATTCTGGAATGGTGCGCTTATCAATAAACAACATATATAATTCAATCAATTGTCGTTATGATCAATGGCAATGTTGTTGTAATATAATAGGAAAGATACGTAATATCGCACCGGTGCGAAGGTCGTTACAGATTCAAACTATTTATTTAACGTTATAAAGTCATCATCTGCCATTATAGAAAAGCTGGAGATGCTTGCCTTCAATACTTAATATACATGTAACGTCACATTTTCACTGTTTATAGAAGTAGATGGCCAATTTTATAAGGTTGAGAGCACAACCTCATTTGAGAACTAGATCTGTGCCTGTGTGTTTAAAAGCCCTCGTAGACTATAAACTTATGAATAGTTATGAGAATGTGCATTTTACAGCGATTTTCATACAATTGCAAACTATTTTCATACCAACTGGAACCAAACTGTCGATAAAAAACCTGTAAGGGCTCTAAATTGTATACCGTTTCAGTCTATTGTGGACGAGTTGATGCGGCAAAAAAATGGTACAGGCCCTACTTCACCAAAGTACTGCAAGCGTGGCAGCCTCACGTACTTGCGACGAGACGGTTCTAGTCAGCTTATTACACCTTCGTCTTCCAGCGATACTCTCAGCTCCGCAGTGAGTCTTAGATATATATTAACTTTTCTTTCAGATACAACTACTTCATAACAAATAATGCTTTTGGAGCTTACATGTAAATACTGTTTTGAACAGTTACGTTTTTATGAATGGAAAAAAGACATCTTTAATAAAAACAAAAGTAATAAACTGTAAAAAACTGTATATTAGTAAATATACAGTTTTTAGTCCTGGCTACAATATTGATTCTTCAATAACGTTAAGATGTAAAAGTGAGTTTAGACATAGTAAGTAAAAACTAAATTACTTCAGTATCTGCTCTGAAAAAAGTGATATCGGTCATAAAAAGGGATGAGATATATTATTAGTAGGGTATATTATTAATTACTGTATATCAGGTGGCTTCCATTTTTACACCAGCTTTTCATTAGGCTGCAACAACAAGCCAATAGAAGAAAACTAGATTGAGTGCAATACCTGTGGGAATTGGTGTCAAGAAAAGTGCTCATGATACAATGGTTCAGGGCCCATAAATGTGATAAATGCCAATATTATAGTCGCGCAATCTTACACACTAGGGTATATAAATCGCGCAAATTTCAATTTTTGATTTCTCTTAAATTACTCTTAAGTTTAAATATCTTATGTTAAAATAAGTATATATGTGAGTTTGTTATCTATATAATAAGCACAAATAAAAAAATAATTAATCTCGCATAATATTTGAATTTTACAATTTATGAGCCTTTGATTTCAAACTGCCCAATTTTATACCAATCTACCCTTTATATATTTTTACATATTTAAATGTCAAAATATTAATAAAACTCAAATAAAGATCCGTTTTATGTCCAAAATTTGGATGCGCTGATGCTGACTGTTGCCACTTTTTCGCGTACATTTACGCATTATATCTATTTATAAAATTCTCGAGTCACACTCTTAGTTACCATACTCCTCTAAAACGGGTTCACCGATTTTGATGAAATTTTATTTTTATTTTCCGTAGCACTGAGAATAGGTTGTTATACATTTTTATACCCTTAAGTGATAAGGGTAGCCTTTATATGGCAAATAACGTTTGCCAAGTCAGATTCTCTTTGTTATAGATTTAGAATTTTAACTACATGAATTTATAGGCAATGTTGTATATTTATAGCAATGGTTTTTATTCAAATCATGTTTAATTGGGATAAACTTTGTCTTGTTTAAATTCAAAAAGCAAAACGTCCAGATATATAGTATATAGCATATAGTCAGTTTTTATTATTTGTTATCTACTGTACTGTTTAACAATACCTATCGGGTATGCATTTTCCTTAATATTCATTTAGTAATATATCAATATTATTTTCAGAATGGGGATTCTTGCACGTCAGGTAGTTCGAGAGAAATATTTTCAGTGCAAAAACTTGCTGAAAAGTTTGCGTCCGTCGCTTTCAAGTCTGGAAGAGACTGCGTCGAGAACAACGCTTTTGACGCCATAGGTGACGATGAACTTTGAACTCTAAGCACGTAATATTAAAGTGTATATTTGATCAAATTAGGCTATATCTAACGTTTAGTTTGTGTAATGCTTCCTGTAAACTAGAATATGACTTTGATATTTATAAATACAGGGCCGGTTTTGGAAACATGTGGTGCGGTCACTAAAAGTGCCAAATAGCAAGGGGCACCAAATTGCCAAATAGAGAGACGAAAATATATTGCAATAAAAATGGTTTATTCCAGAAAATTCCACTTACTGTTAACTATGAATGACTATGGCGGCAAAAGACAATTTCATTCCATGCTGATAAAAGACCGAAACTAAAAATATGTACATTACACGACTATATATTTTGTTCTGGATTAATACATAAGTACTTAAAATTAACCATCCATAAGGAAGGCCTGAGCCCCTGCAGTGGGGACGTAAAAGGGCTGGTGGTGTAATGACTTAAAATTGCTAAAAATGTAGCAGTGCATTTACTTTAATAAAATTTGAGGTTCAAGCAATGTACACAAGGCAACATGTCAGGTTACCACAATATATCAAATTCCTTTAGATTATTTTGAACTCTCCCTTCAAAGCATTAAAGTTGAAAATCAAGTGGAGAAATTTTACATTTGTGTATTACGTACTGTTGACTGTACAAGAGATTTCTTCTAAATAATTGGATGGAAATAAATATTCCTATCTAGTATGGTTCTGTATAGTAAAGGTTCTATGTTCTATCATCATTCTTTTTCGAGTATGTATTTGATATGACACAAATATTAACATGTACAAATTAATATCCTCTACAGTACCACACACTTATTGGCCCTAAATAATATTTCCCCAGTCTTTAGGGTAATAATAATGACATTAGCCAAATTTTCAAGGGGTGGTGTGAATTTGCGATTTCAGTAATTGTTATACTATACGACGTTATAGCAGCAAATCATACATAGTTTTGTTGAATTTGGCATAGTATTTTTCTAAGGGTTTCATGACCTTCATTAAAATTTATTTCATGTCGTAAAACGTTTAGTAGTTTTGGTATGGAAAGGATTCTTTATGGCATAAAATTCGTGTATTTTTATTCTTATGACACCGAAGTCAAAATCATCAATTTCGACTTTTCCCTTCACACTACCTTTTACCTCTACCTTTTTTCCCTCGACTAAAAATTTATAAACCCTTCGTTTCAGCCTGTTTTTTTTCTTTAACTAATTTGCTTACGAACAGATCTCTACGTATCCTACAAAATGAAACAATTTTTTAAACCCTTTCAGATTTGAGACTATAGTTTCTGAAAAGTATGACAAAAATAAAACAAAAAATATCTAAACCAACCACACATCCACAGTTTTGTAATTTTCATTGAAATGTAACCATCATATAAAACGAAGGGGTTATTCATAGCAACTGCTAGCAACACTAACATGTAGCAGCAGCTACTGGTTCATACAATTTTTTAAATGATGATATCGGTGCTTTGAGGCATTTTTCCTCCTGCGTAAAAGCTAACACTTTTACAAACATGTTTCTTGTATCACTTTTCAATGAATTCGACATTATTACATATGTTTGTGGCACTGTAATAGATTTCACCAGTTTAATAGGAACTTAAGGGGCCATCCATAAATTATGTCACACGTTAAGGGGAGGGAGGGGGTCGACGAAGTGTGGCATTGTGTGACAAGTGGGTGGGAGGGTCCTAAATTTCGTGACGTCACATTTCAAAATATTTTATAATCTAAGTGTTAAAACACGAATTTTAAACTATTACTTTACAAAAACCTTGCAAAATATGTGACACCACACTAGGAGGGGGGAGTCTTACAAATGTGACCAGCTGTGACTAGGACGGGGGAGGGGCAAAAAATCATGAAAATCGTGTGACGTAATTTATGGATGACCCCTAATTATATTCTCAAATTGGCAGAACATAGTTAGTGCAAAGACCGCACCTTTATCGTTGAAATAAAGTTCTTTTTATATTAAATCTTAAAAAAAGAACCGCTCTGCGCTTCTGTAAAAATCTAAACCCGAATTGGAATTCACTCAGGTGTCCGAATTCACGTATCACAAAATACAAAACAAAATTGATGTGAATATATGTGTCTCAGATATTCTATTCGTATGGTATTTCGAAACTCACTTCACTTATAATAATAATACTATACCACATATACTATCACGCATACACACATCACATAGCATTCACACATACACGACATAAATGTCCATGTCCCAAATCAGCATTCTAAATATAAATAACATCAGAAAAACTGTTTGTTCTAAATAATTTTATTGGAAATTGTAATAATCTCCTCCACGGGCCAGGCACTGCCTAGTGTAGGGGTCAGTATGTGTAAAATTGTAATAGTTTCTGGAAATAAACATTTTTAATTTTCACTTATGCCACAAAACGTTATTACTGATTCAAGGTTGAGTGGATACTGCTTTTTGAAGTGAATTCGAATTCGGGTTTGTATTTTTACAGAGGCGCAGGGCTGGTCTTTAAAATCTATTGTGTAGTCCTAGGGATTTTGTATATACCTTCCAAAGATCATTAATTTTGAAAACACGTTGCCAATATACAGTCTCAAAATATATATATTTGATATATGTAAATAGTTATTAATATTACAATCAATCTGTCTGTCTTTCATAAGGAAATAATAATTCAGATATTGAAATTCCATAAATTACTTAATTTAAATACGTTATTCAATAATAACTATCAATAGCATAATCGAATGTATAGTGTAGTTTTTGCTGCCAATATTTCAAATGTAATTATAAAAATATAATGAATCTCTTCAATGTCATGGTAGATATTTTTAATTTCAATTCAGTGTAGATATATAAGTATTATTATAATTATATATAAAGCGTAACAGTAGAATTATTTTATGTTTCAATTATCAGTCTTATTATAAAACTATGTTAGTAGTTTAAACTGACAGACTTTAGTCTGTTA